CAATCTGTTCCTTTGAGAGGACCCTATACAGTTGGGACTGACGTGCACGCGAACACAGTCCTCTGACGTTGATGGTTGCGAAGCTCAGGGGAGGAAATGCCAGGGAGGTGTTAGCTAAGGGGGTAGTTCATCACCGTCCTTCACTACGTCAGCAGGCCGTGTGGCCTTACTGTAATGGTTCTCACACACCTCAGCTGGCCTGCGTTTTGCGTCGCCTCTCTCGTCGCTGTTGTGGCCGATCGCGACATCCGTGGTAGACGACTGAGACGATTTTTCCGATGTTGGGGCGGGTCGTTTGACAGATGTTCCACTGGACGTGGTCGAGCGCTCTCGTCGATGTAATGAAAACTGTGAAGCATCCGTTGACGTCGTACTTAAAGGAGGGAATTCGCTGTCTTGCAAAAGCGATTCAGGCTTTTCAGATTCAGTGGTGATCGTCGCCGACTCAGGGTTGACGTCAGGTGGTGGGTGCAGTGGGGCCGTCAGCTGTACCCCTGAAGTGGTGCTGGAAGGGGTGACTTCTCCTGTTGCATCGACCACTTCGCTTATGTCCATTAGGTGTTCTAAAACGACATCTTCAGCTGGGCTTCTTGCTTGTCGGAGCTTGTCCGCATAGGTGGTGACGCACTCACTTGTTGCATGACCATAACGTCGGCATTCACCGCATCTTGGGGTCCTACACTCGCGACGAATGTGACCGATTCGGTAGCATCATAGACACAGTGGAGGGCGGCCAGGCACGAGCACCAAGCTTCGACAGCCGAACACTGTGAGCTGGTGCGGTATCTGGCTCGCGTTCATTCCCTCGTGAAGGGTCAATGTCACTTCTTTGTTTAGCGTCTCCATCTGCTCCATTCCGGCGCAGCGCCATTTTTCTCTAACAATCGAACGGACCGTGCCAAAAGGCGCCAGTGCTTCTTCGATACGCTGGTTGTCCATGTGAACTGGTAGCCAAAGAAGTTTCAGTTTGACGTCTCTGGTGTCCGGGTCGATGATTAGGCATCGGCGCCCCTTTACGCGGAGCTCTGCTTTGGTCACAAGTTTGGCCTTGGCCAAAGCGCTTGCACAGGTCACCATCCAGACGTGACTCATCTGGAATTGGCCGATTCCGATGATATCCTGGCTGTCAACCACGTCCCGCAAAGCGTCTCGGAAGTCTGTTGCTCGGTATGGCCGCGCGGCGAGATCTCCGTGTAGAAAGACAGAATTAAGACTCAAATTACCTGTCGGTAGACGGGGAAGTACGGTCCGGTACTCTTCGGTCGTCATTTCGGTGGTACTGGCCGAAGCCTCAGCAGTTCCCCGGCCTGTGGCCGGTGCGTTTTCACTGGAGAGCATTGAAAACACGACCGTTTCGAACGGCGTCTTCTTCTTTCTCCGAGCTACTGGGGCATATCTAAACTCGGGTAATTTTTTCCTTGGTAATAATTCAGCCGATAAACTGTAAGTTGGAACGTTTGCTGCCGATTTTCCTCTAGCAAAAGCACTCCCGGGTCGAAGTCGGGATGCACCACGCATTGGCGACATTCTCACCTAGTAAAGAAATCGTACGCGTGCATATTCCACTCGAAGTAGACACGTCGCACTTGACGTTTGCGCGAGCGATGTCTTCAGCCACAAGAAGGGAGCGACGGCTCGGCGACGTCTTCGTGCAAATCGGCTTGGTGGTCGGGCGTGTCGTACGGGATGAATACCAATTCTTTTGACCAGTCCCAAATTTCTCTTTTAAAGGCAGACAAAATTCGCCGGTACCGCGAACGACAGTTCTGAAAAAGAGGTCCCACGCCCGTCGTCCGCTGCCATCGCCGTCCCTGCGAGTCCCACGATACGCGAAACGACGCACGCACAGAATGCTTCCGGTTGTCTGTGGAACTTTTTTTTCAATCAACGTATTTGCAGCTTTTTAGAAGCCACAAAAAATGGGTTTTATATTTTTTTCTATTTTTAATATTGAGTGTGTGCTTTCAGTGACCCACGACTTTGATTAAATTTGGTGGTCGCATCGATACCTTAGAAAACGGCCCGTGACCGCGGAAAAGAGAGTGAGCGAGACTCGAACCGGCCAGTTCTTGATCGGCGGTTTTCGGGCGGAAAGAAACCGAATTTCGAGCCGCAAATTCTGTTCTGGGTAGTTGAGTTCTCATATGTCACGTACAACTAAAAACCTCGGCGAGCATAAATACCCTGTCAGTGTCCCTTTAAGGCCCGACCACACTAGCGTGAACGGCGCCGCCGGGCGGCACCGCCGTCCGGCGTCCCAACGCGAGGAGTCCACATTGGCCTCCGTTTTGCAGGCGTCACGTGACAGCACTAGATCCCGCGATCGCGCCTCCCGTCGGATTTCCCGCTCTTTCGTCGTCTGCTCTTCGTTAGATTCTTCCGTTCCGCACTCGCTGTCTAGACGGTAGGAGTTCATAATGACCTGGTGATCAGCGTGAATGTGATTATCCTAGCCTGCTCGTTGATCTTGCGACGTCGCCACGCTCTGAAGGGAAGGAGGTGCAGGTTTAGGGTCCGGCCGAGTTGGTTCTACCGAAGGACAGTACAGAGGCCGGATTCTCAAAGCGAACTTACGACGAAAAAAATGCGTACGACAAATTTGAGAGAAAATCCGTATTCTCGAAACGAAATTGTCGTAACTTTTGCGCAGGTTACGACAGAATCCTACGACAGCTCCGAAGCTGTCTTACGCACTTTCTACGATCAAATTAACATGGCCGACAACGTCGCTCAGTTGCTCGGTTGCGGCGACCAGTTTATTTTTCTACCTGCTCTTCTTGCGCGTCCCGACTTCAAGCAGCAAGAAAAAAATGAAGTAGTACTTGAAACCGACTACGACGAACATGAACGCTGGATCCACAGACACCCGGAAAAGGCAACAAAGGCAACGATCCCACCGACCAAGCGAGCTCGGCAGAATATATAGGCCTAGCAGGCACTCCGACCCGTTCCGGCGCAGCATTGCTCAGACGGTTTTTGGCCAAGACCGTCTGCCCACGACCGGCTGGCTTGCTGAATGGAATATGCCCGCGCGACCCTTGTGGACCCTTCCCGTATGAATAGTTTGATAGCTGAACTAAATTTCAGAGGTCAACCTATTCCCCTTATCATCTCGATCACCTTGTTTTCCGAGGCAGCGGTGACGAACGCTGTCGTCGAAAAGGGACTCCTCGATTCCATCTCCTTGTTTTGTGTGATATAGAGCTCAAATAAACGCCGCATGGATTACCTTCGCAACACGGTATGTACACTTTGTCATTACTATGCCATTTTTAACTGTTGAGCTATATCAGTTTGTGGGAGCTACGCGATGCTGGTCCAACCTTTCTTTGCCGAGTGTCACGTCAGTATCGAGTTGCAATCGTAGAAGATCGGTCCCGAAGCGCTTACCGAAACGCAGTCTGAATCCAGTACTTCGATCAAACGCACGCGTCCGCTCCGAGCGTGAACAAGTATTTGCGTGACTCTTGCTGACACACTCGTAGTTCAAACGTATCTTTTTTTAACGTCGGCTCACTCCTGCATTTCCGAGCCCGCGAGAAACGCCGCGGCGGTTTGTATCCTTCTACGTCGCTTTGCAAACGACTGGCACGGGGCTTTTACCAAGGATGACAGTTGTGTTGACTTCGTAGCGATCGAGTTTGTAGCAGTCAACGAAGCGTTTAAATCGTGTTAGCGTCGATATACCACTGCACGGACACGAACCCCAGACAAGCGGTGGTGGAAAAGCCGCCCGTGTTTATGAGAATCAGCTTGAACACTAAACATTTACACACGGACAGGACAGGACATACACAGAGCTGTCTATCAACGAGTGGTTAGCCTGTGTTTGTTATTAAAAATCCACGTGCTCCGAACTATGCCTAGCTCTCTAATTGGTTATTCGTTTTGCCGAAGACGCCGTTGCCATAGCAACAGCACCGGAAGTCATCGTTTCTCCGTAAGAGGTCGTAACTTTCCTCCTCTCACTTAAGAACGCGTTTGTGAATACCGTTCTCGCCTCATCTTACGATGATCGTAACTTTACGAACTTCGTAGCTAAGTTGTCGTAGGTAAGAGGTTTTTTATGAATCTGGCCTCAGGTCTGGCGCGCCGCCGTGGCTTTGCTGCCCCGGAGGCGCGCCAGAGATGAAGGCTACTCTCGAAAGTGTCACCAAATAAACACGACATCCGTCACAACAGAGACGACATGCAACAAATGCCACGGAGAAACTCACTTGTAATTCGAATTCCTCTCCTATAATTTCCCAGCGGTTAGTTTCAAGGAACCGCTCCGTTGGGGAAGGCATCGGGGGGAAATAGGGGGAGCAGACGACACGAAACACGTCCTTCGCTTCGAGACGCGCCGAGGACCGGCTTGAGCGTTGCCATGGCATCGCGACGTCACTATCTACGCCACCTCCCATTGGCTCCTCTCTTCTGCGGCGTGCGGCGTTGGGCTCTGAACCGCGCAAGGAGCGGTTGGGTGTGCGGCGCCGCACGTCGTGACGTTGAAGCCGAAAACTGGTTTCCGCCGGCAACCGGCAGCGACGACCGTCGCGCCGCAGGCCTCCGAAACGCCAATGTGGTCGTGCCTTTAGTCCCCTTTTCTTATTTCAGACGTCGTCCTGTCCTTTTCTATTCCTTCGACTTATATGTTCATTTCTGCCCCAGTATCAGGTTTATTCAACACGGTTAACATTCATCAGCTCGCCTGCACCCTTACTATATTATCTCGCAACACTTCGGCATGTCAAGGAAGCTTCGATCATGCCGCGAGACCGGCGAAACTTGCTTTCGACGAGTTGTGTCTTTTTCCTGCGGCACTGTGCTTTTATAAAGTTTTTCTTGTGTTTTCAACGGCAAGTCTCACCGACTACACAGACTTTTAAAAAATTTCTTCGGCGAATGACGAGGAACGAGCAGAAAACGTGTCTTTAACACGCTGCCGCCAGCCTCTACAACGCTAGCAATACGCAATTTCGCTGCAAGCAAGATGGCCGTCCGGTGTCCGCACTCACGGAGCGGTAGACGTCACCAGGCAGGCGGAAATTGAGGAACCGTTTTTTGGATGCGATAGGTTATCTCTTCTGATTCTTATCAGTCCTTTCTTTAAATAAAGGCCTTAAACAGCTCTTTAGCAAGAATGGACATTGCTAGTAAATATCGCTTTAAATATATCCGTTTTATTTGTTTACGTGGGTTCGCCTTCGGGTTTTCATTTTTCATCCGCCAACCATCTTGGCTTCGCTGTTTGGTCTGTGTGATCATCTGTGCTGCGTTGATGTGGGATAAATCATTCCAAAATGATGGAGGTAGGTTCGTTATTTGTACATGACTGATTTGAAAATCAAGTGTATAGACCTGCCAACGCAAATGTTGGCCGCGCTTTAACATTTCTCGCTTAAATACCTCGTTTGGCTGAGGTGGCTTGACCCAAAGCCGTCGACGATTCCAAAATGATTAGATGCTTTAAATGCAGTTCAATCGAGTGTGCAATAGCAAACTTACGCTCCAATTTAGAGCTTCGAGGCGCACACGTTGCTCACGCGGCAGTCGTGGTCTGTCGATTGCATTAATGGCCTCACCTTTGAACCACGGTGTACCCCGAAAATGCCGCCGCAAAAATAAAGATCGCATCGCCAAGTGGAGAACTCGTGGTCTGGACCTGATGCCGAAGAACTTGCCGCTATCAGGTTGCCAAGTGTTGGGGGAAATCTTTCAATATGACGTCCAATGAAGCGCACGAATACATGGAGCTGAACGGCGTCGGCTAGCGGGAACAAGCCCCATTTTCCCCGGAGAAATTTTCATAAAAATAGCTCATCTGAATAAGATATCTGCAAGTTCGCATCCTGACCGCAACATTTGAGCGAAAACAGCTTTATAAACGCCCTCAAAAAAAAACGAGTACCAACGCAAGGTGCCTTGTTTCGTAAACTGAAGTGCCCAGGTAACCGCGCGTACTTTGCTGGAGGCTGAGCACATAGTTTTGTTTTTTGGGGCTGTAGATTGTTCGCTCGGAAGTGTTCTTTTGTGTCGTTTTCCTCGTCTTAACACCTTTGACTGTCCGATCTCAAATTCAGATAGACAACTACTATTTTCAGCAGCCAGGGGATATGCCCGATTTGGAGTTCGTTTATGATGACGCCGACACGCACGAGAATGAAATCGCCGGTAAGCACGCGTTGCTTCCGAATGTCGCTCGCTGCTCATCAGTTGCAGTGTGCGCGTGCGACGTATAATTCTTTGTTTTATTTGTTCATCCAGAGCTGTACACATACACGGAGGAACCGGAGTTTTTGTATAACAAGAAGGCGTTCGAAGATGTTATGACAGAGTATGGTAAGCTTGTTCATTTTTACCATATATACAAAAACAAGTTTTAACCCCTATTTGCGGCGGAGTAGCCAAACATGCTGCCACTGTTCGATATGGCTCGCCCATAATACCATCCCGCAGTGTTTAGTGTGCAATCTATAGACTTTTGCAAAAACAGGCTCTCTGGCTGCTGCCATTTTTGCGGCTCGGGCGACCTTTATCAACCAGAAATTTCTCGCACCCGCCTGAGCTGTGAAAACCCGTTCAACGCGACTCCCCACCTGCATTGTGCATGCAGAGTTCGCCAGTTCTTCTTGAATGTTTTTACATTATTTGCCTGTTCAGCATGCTTACCCTTTGTGTGTTATCTTCCACTTTGAGAACCAGGGGATACCAGAGCTCATAGCCTGCTCAGCCTTCGCAGGAAATTAACGAAGAGAGAAAATGTCATGCAGCCGTTCAATGTTCTCCGAGGAATATATACTTAGAGATAATCTCCAAAAGGCCTTCCCGGCTATGTACCCGGTTTTTGCGAAAAATAGCTCGTAGGGTCCGGGGTATGAGAACGGAATAGACACGTTCGTTCATCTGCTTTGGTACTGTGCACCTCTCCTCAAAACACGCTGGATTCCGTTCAACCGTCGGGAAGTGACTATCGTCAACACCGTGTATGGGATATGCTGTGTTATTTGAGATCTTCCTTAAAATTAATCCAGTTCGGATAACGCAGCACCCTGGTTTATGCAAGTACAATATGTTGTTGAATTGATGAGGCGCATTAAATTTCATGTTGTGAGCGGGGAATACGCATGGATTTCGGCTATCCTGTGTGGTCAGATATTTTTGACAGTTAAAGGGGCACTGACACATCACAATTTTTTTTATTTTTTTTATTATCCGAAACAATTTAAAACGATGCCGGGAACATTACCCTCAAAATTAAAAACTTGGGAATTCAGTATTTTTGAAGTAAAAAAAGCAATTTCCGAATGTTGAATTCAAAGTTCCCGCGCGATCCGCGCTGGTGCGTTAACGTCAAATAAATATTGCGGAGTCCTAAGAGTCGACTTTCTTTCACGACTCTGTGCTGTTGCCATTGCGACCTGATGCAAGGAGGAAAGGAGTGGCAGATAGGGGCCCCGGCAATCCAAGAAAGACCGGTTTTATCCCTAACGAGTGGTGCCGCCTGCCCAGGCTGCATGTTTTCTGAGGGAGGATACAATTCCAGAAGGCGACATCATGCCGGACTCCGATTTTTGGTATTTCAAAAAGAATGGCCGTAGTGCGTTCGCAATAGACCCTTTCCGGAATTCAGTGCCATCTGGTGACTTAAATGGCAGTTACACTTTTACCGTACTAATGGCGGCAATGAAGCTGTGGTACAATGTACCCGTGGTCTGCAGTATTTTATGGGGCACCATCACATTCGCAAGTCAACGGCAAATGAGAATGCGCACGTCACTGTCCAGTTCTTTTTAAATCTCTTTCAGTGCCAATGGCGAAAAAGATGCAACCAGTCAGTACAAAGCGCCAGCCCACATAGACGCCTTGATAAAATTCCATACGTCTAGGGGCTTTGGAGCCGAGTGTGTGCTACTAACAGATTGACTGGGTCCGAGTTAGAAATGAACGCTTACGCAGCTCTTGCGTCGAATTCCTGCCTCACGTCGCGCTAACATCTAGAATGTGTTAACATTGAATCATCTGCTTAGGAGCATCTTCATCTTCTTCCTTCATCACTAAACAGAAGGCCGCCATTAGTATAGCACATATGCCATTTTTCAGAAGATGATAGTGATCAAAGTTGCAAGTCTGAATTCCGGAAAGGGTCTATTGCGTTAAAAAACATGTTTTACGATTGTTGTTCTTAAATGTTATAGAAATGTCACCTACAAAGCTTCTAAATTTCCTGATTTTTGACGTCACAAATAAAAAGAAGCGAGGAGGTGAAGAGCAAAAGAGGAAAAAAAAAAAAAAAAGACGCGCACGCGCGCATGGAAATGTTTTTTTTTTTTTTGCAATGCATTTTTTTTTGCGTGTTTATGACTACAACTTGCACCGTTTTAGACAATACAAAAAAATACGACCCTTGGGATGTCAGTGCCCCTTTAAGACCTTTGCAATCTAACACGGTTGAGTGTATGGCGTCATCAAAAATCAGCATGAAATGAAACAAACATTCCAGTGGCATTTGTTCTGTCGTGCATGGACTCGCCAAGAGTAACTTTTATTTGCTCTTGTTCCCAAAAGTAGCAGAATGCTTTCCTAAAAATGAAAAGGCTCGAGGAATTCTATTCACCCTAAAACACAAACGAAACAGTAAAACGTGGCAATTCAGATGCCACCAGTGTCTGGAATTGCACCTAAGCAGGCTGCCACAGCCGATTGACGAGAAAGCTATTTTTGTGACTGCGCTGGGCAATCTTGACGTGGTTGTGACTGCGCTGGGCAACCGTGACGTGGACAACCCCGACGTGGTTGCCGCCAACTACAAGCCACTTCCGATATTCTCGAACGAACCAAAAAGAAAGCGAGATAACTTTGCATCCAAATTTTTACGTTACGTCAATGAAGCGAGGGTAGTTTGAATGCTGTCAAAGCCACTGCACGTGGCATCGTCCAGCGTCTTCACGACACACCGGACGAAACCACCCGCAATGGTACGGTATCGCGTCTCCAGCCAGTGCGTTTGACGTCCTATCCCAGCCGTGCATGGAAAGTGAAGCGGCCACCAATGTCATTAGAAAAGCCGGAGTGTCACGCCGTCGGACATCACGACGACGGCGATTGGTCGTAGAAGTTCCGCCAAGAAGCAGGAGCAAGCGTCGCCGTCATCCCGGCTCCCGTCCGTAACTTCCGTGGACTTTCGAGCCAGAGAGCGACCCTCAGTGGAACCTGCCGCATCAACCGCCGCTCGCACGGCACCGCCAGGGTCGGCGCGATACTTTGTTGTCGAGGGGAAACGGAGGGAGCATTTATGGGGACAAACGCGGCGGGAGACGCTTTGCAGGCACCGTAGCCTAAGGGTGGTGGTGCCGCAGGCCTGGACCCCCGGTGGCAGGCCCTGAGCGAGGCCGCCCGCCAGGAGGTGGCGCTGCGGCTCATGGACGGGGTGGAGGTGAGCGGGAGGGTGGCCCGGATGCGGGCGGTGCGGGCGGTGCTGTACCTGGCCCAGGGCGCCCCCGGCGAGTGCGCCAGCCTCGAGGAGCAGCCCCAGAGGGCCCGGGAGAACGTCTTCCTGCTCTACCGCAGCGGCTTCTTCCACCTTTTCCTACAGCTGCTCAACATGGAGATTGAGTGAGTGCCGCCCACCCTTCTCCAAAAGTCAGACTCCCTCTCGCCTCGTTTGGCAGAGTACGAGCACCATTTGAGAAAGGTCTTTCTCCAGAAACTCCGGGTTCCTTCCCGAGGACGCTTTTCGAGTCGCCAAGATGGCGCGAGGCTGGCGCCGCGTTGGCGCTACTGTTGCTCGCATTGATACGAGAGAAGGTGGAGTCACATTCGTCGGCTTTGCCTATAGCGTGTGCGCTGCGGTGCACCCACAGTTTAAGGGGGCACACTAGCTGGAAAGATCTCTGCTATGTCATCCATTCGAACAAAGCACTTGCGGGGTATGTCGGTCATTGTGCGGAAGACCTGGGCGCAAAATTTCGGCTTCCTAAGCCAATCCTGGAGGCACCTACTGGGGAACTATGCGCGTCACCACGGAGTGAAAAGCATGTCTGCTTTAGAAATCTATCGTTTTGAGATGGTGGTGATAATCGATAGTTGTTCCGGTGGAATGCATACTAGAATACCTGTTGTCACCTACGATAAAAATAAATGCCACACATTTTGAGTACAGAGTGAAGTACAATAAGTATTTTCCCCGCATTTGTTCGATTTTATAAATAGCTAGTTTTTGTAACAAAAAGTTAGAAAATTCAGAATCTAAGTTAGTAGTAACCAGCTCCATAAAATATAAGTAAAAAAACAACCAAATCCAAGTCCTTAGATAGTAGTTTCTTACTGAAATGATTCTAGATACGGAACCTGCTGTGAAAAAGTAAAACTGATAAATGTGTTTGAAAGTTCTAAAAGTCCAACTCTTGATGGTGCCAGCATGTTGAAGAGAGTTTATTCCAGGAAAAAAATGTTGCAATTACAGGAGTGAAACTCCCCGGCAGCATCCGTTGGGAATTCTCCGGGCTTATAAGACTACTTTTTGAAAATGTGACTTCTAAAAGAAAATTGGTATTTTGATGTAGTGAGAGATGTTATGGCAATTTTTGTAGCTACCCCAACTAACTATATTTTCGGAATCACTGGCTTTTGCCGTTTCCGGTGTGCTATTTAGGATCACCAATTTCAGAATGGTGGTTGTGAAATCGGCGAGTGGACCAACGATCAAATGTACCTGCACTTTTCAGCGCCGTGACGTCGGTAGAGGGCAGACTCGAAGGTCTAGCGGGCAGTCTAAAACTGGGCTGTGCCGAGCATTTGTTTCGTGCTGCTGCGCGGGTGCTGGAGCGAGCTTTCAAAGCATTCATTTGACTCCGTGAAACTGCTCGTAATCAGTTGGAAAGAAAGAGTGAACCCCCACCATCCACTGATGTCACTTTTTCACTGTTACCAGGAAAGACTTTCACCTTAAAAAACACGTTGAGGGCTGTAAGTTGTAAATTCTAGAAAAAATATTCTTTTGGCTCAATATTTGGGATACTATTTGACTATGTTTGTTGCTGAGTTAAGCACATTTTCGAGCAAACCCGGACTACGAAGAAAATGCCGGAGTACGCCTTTAAGTCCACTACGATCACGTTTGCCGCTTCAGGATTTGTTTGTTTCTCATGCTCCGAGGCCACAATCTCGCTGACTGCAGAGGGATAACAAAGTGCTCAAGATTCGCCGTTTTTTAAGCTGTCTGCGATCAGCAACCGCGAAGAACCCGTAGCCTTAGCATGATGAAAACGGCGCAAAAAGAGATGAGCAACGAGTCGAAGAAATGTAACCACCAGGCGCCGACTTAACGACTGGGTTTAACTTGATTTTGCATTTAATTAACAGGCTTTACTGATTTGTTACCTGTCCATGTTCCGCAAACGAGTTTTATTGTTTCGTGGATAATACTTGACTGCACCCGCTGCAGTGCTTTGGTGCTGTAGGTTGTTTTTGGAAATAAAGTAATATTAGGAATAACATAGACCCACCAAAACAGAAACATACTGCTACATCTGTTTTACGTACGAGTCGCTTCAAGTTGACCTAGATAGACCATCTCGCTTTTATATGCTGACACGTCGTTTACAAAAAAGTCGGCGTTTGCCCACTCCTGGTGAGGGCACTGCACGTGCGTAGAGACTAGATTGGTGCAAAGCAAAGCGCATGCGTTGTACCGGCAACGGCGCCACTATCATATCACGGCCGCATGTCGGTGTATGGAACGCAGTCGATGATGAACCGACGTGCGTGCGCTCCTCGCGTTGAGCGTGTCTCTTCCCCTTTAACTCCACGGTAAGCTGGTACCCGGTGCATGCGTTTCTTTGGCTCGTCTTCCGTCTCTTTGTGTGCCATTCTGGTCGAGCCACGCACGGCCGACTCGGCCGAGCGTGCACCCCCTCACTGCGGTGGCGTAGGCGGGGCCCTGACGTCGGGTTGTTGGGTGCAGGAACAGCAGCGCGGCCACGTGCGCCCTAAGGAAGCCGGCGGTGTCCCTGGGCGACAGCACGGACCTGCGGGCCATACTGAGCGTGCTCTACACCTTCGTGGAGGTGATGCGGGTGGCCGCCGAGGCCGACACCGACGACATGAAGCGGGACCGGGAGGTCTTCTCCCAGGAGCTGGGCAAGCTTCCCTTTCTCTCCTCCCAGGAGCGACCCCCGCCTTTTCCCCCCGCCGACACGTCAGGAGGTCCGCAAAAGAACGACCGATTACGTCGCGGGCGACGTGGAAAGGACTCGGTCGCCGTGATCGTCACTAATTGCACTAACTACGTTCGGTGACGGGTGAAGAGTTCGGAGGAAGCCCCTGCCACTTCTTTCCACTCAAATGAAGTGTACGCCAGAGAGGAGGCAACCTCCTCTTTGGCGTTCATTCTGCCGAACTGGAAAGAGGTGGGAGCCTCCGAACTTTTAAACCCATCACCGACTCTAGTTCTCCCGATTATTGCGGTCGGTCTTTCCCGGCGTTGCCTACCCAACATGTAGCTGCGGCGCATGCAGCCGTCCGGTGCTTTTGTGGCGCTTATGGGGCTGCCGGCAACGGCATAGAGCGTGGAAGGACTTGCCATCTCGATCGCGACGTGCCGGGCTACCCCGGGAGACCCGGGGGATGGAACGAGGTGGGTGCCGCGAGACTGTGCCTCGAAAGTAGCCGTAGGAAAAAAGAAAACTTGTCCGAGGTACGTAAAGGCTGGTTGATTTGCTCGCAACCGCTCAAGTGCTTTCAAACCCCTCGGGATCTTTTACAAAGAGAGAAAACACTAGCATCCGCTAGCTGTGCAACGCTTCCGTTTTCCGTATATTTTGTTTTCCTTCGCACTCTTTCCCCACTTGGCTGGGTTTTTGACGGCGTTAAAAACGACCATTTCTCGTAGATACGTTTGATCTCGCAAAGAGCACCGAAGCTTGGCTCTTGTGAAGTGCAGTTGCAGGGTGGCCTCGTAGATGGCGCCAGCGTGCCTACGCCCTTTCTCGTCGTAAGAGACCCCTCGGTTCTAAGATTTTTGACCGCTTCCCAAGAACCGCGTAACCCTGCAAACTGGAGCTTGGCCCCGACGTAGACGGGTGACGAGGGGTGTGTCCCTGCAGCCCAGCCCATCCTGGGGGAAGACCTGCTGGCCATCACGCTGTTCCAGATGATCATCAAGTTCTGCAGCGGCTCCACACCCCACTTCCCGATCAAGAAGGTGCTTCTGTTGCTCTGGAAGACTATACTGGTGCGTCAGACACTCCCACCGACTCCCCACTTTGCCGACCGCCTAATCGGACACGTTTGCGCGTCGCTAGCCCGCTCCACGAATGGTATCTTTAGAAAGACCCTTGTACCTCTCATGTGCTTCGGGTCTTTCTAATATTTATCGGTTTAGTGGTTCTGGACGATGTCGAGCGAGTTTTTAATTTGAATGATACTTTTATTTTTGCTATTTTATAGGTTAATTAACAAATTTCAGGCAGTTATCGGACATATCGTAACAATTGTACCCCTTCATTATGTATGCCTGGCTGTATAACTCATATGCAAAGATTGGAGTAATGTAGCTTTTGTGGCTTTTTTAGCGGTCTGGATCCCAAAATAAAAAAAAAAATACACTCTGCACTTTTCCATAATAGCCGCAGTTTCGTTTTTAAAATTTTACCGCAATCTAGATATCAACATTCACAAACTTCCGCTTCCTTTTTAAATACGCTAGACACGCACGTGCACCATCTCACCACGAATGTGCACTTTGCTCCAAAGTGTGCGACTGCAATATCCATTCTTTTCGAAGCGTCGATCGCGGCGGGCTAGTCCCTATGTGCGCGCTTCTTACTGAGCACCGGTGCACCACAGAAAAGCAACACCCGCAGACGCATCGCTAATGTTGCTTCTTGGCGGTGCACCGGTGCTCGGTAAGAAGCGCGCACATAGGGACTAACCCGCCGCGATCGATACTTCGAAAAGAATGGATATTGCGGTTCATCTCAAAGCTAACATCGAAGAGTGTGTTATTCGAAATTACTATTAAAAAATTCGAATAGGGGTTCATGTGGTCTTCGGTCTCTTTTATCTGCCACTTTTTTGCCTTTTTGGACGCGTGTGTCTCGTTGCGACAATTGTAGCTGGGCTTTGTTTTTCCAATAAATTTCAGTTGTTAGCGTTGCCAATTTAGCAGTTTTGCCGCTAAATTTAGCAGTTTTTCGAGTTGTCTAGCGGGAGAAATTGCCGTTTTGCAGTGGGCACAATTTTTAGCAGTTTTTGAGTCATATTGGCACGCTTTCTGGCGGTCTAGCGTGTCTTCCAGTTTACCTTTATAATCGTAAATAACTTAGTTCCTGCGGTAAGTTAAGAGTCCTGGGTCATTATTTTTACTTACTCTCGACAAAATTGTTGTCCGTGAGAATAAAGCTCAACTCCATCGAGATGTTATAGGGCAGACATTGAAGCGTAGCGTCTGAATGGTCATTCTAGGCCCGCGCCTTATACCTAGCAGTTTTTTGCGATTTCTCGGGCGTTTGAGTTGGCAGCACCAGTCAGACCCAATGTTGCGTAGTCCCTTGGCTGGCGTCTTTTGTGGGCTGCTCTCAGTGCGGGTGGGGGGGGCAGGTTTCCCTAGGCGGCAGTGACCGGCTGCGGCAGCTGAAGGCGGACTACCGGGCGGCCCAGGAGCTTCCCCCGGCACCGGAGGACACGGTGGAGGTGGCGCGCACCATGCGGGCCTCCTCGCCCCCCACCTCGGCCGCCGACCTGATCGAGGCCCAGCAGCTGCGCAAGACCAACCGCCCCTTCAAGCGGGTGAGGCGGCCACTGACGGGCACTTGCTCTTGCTTGCCATACCACCCACACTTGGAAACCACGCTCAGTGTTGGCGGTAACAAGTAACAGCGGTACTGGGAATGCGTTAACCACGGTACCGGTAACGCATTACTTTTTCCGGTAATATAATAACATACTCGTTAGATTTTCAAAACAGGAATGAATAACATATTTGCATTACTTATTTTGAGTAGTAGTTACCTTGCTTGTTTTATCTTCCGAGACTTCTAAAAGATTTCACTTCAAGTTTTCTGGTGTCTTTCGGTGCCGAGTCGCGTAAATTCTTGCATTTTGCGTTCTTCTTTGCGATTTTTTTCCTCGCAAGTATTGGGGTAGAACCGTAAAAAAGATAATGTAATTATATTAAGCTTCTGCATAGACGTAAGGTTTCTCGAAATATGGCACTTATCCATACCTGAAACGCGGTGTTGGGAAGTACTTAAAGTATGTTGTACTTAGAGTACTGCTTCGAAGAGGTTTAGAAGACTTGTACTTTACTCGAAGTACATTCTTGCAGTATGTACTTGTACCTAAAGTGTTTTTTCTGGTACTTTTTGAGGAAAATACAACTCCTGACTTCAAGTACATTCCCCAAATTTGGTCTCAGTGAGATTAAGCTGAGGTCGTTTATAAGAGTTCACCAACGTCTAACCATAAAATAGTGTATTCTGGCATGAAAATGCAATATCGTCTTTCAAGACATCATCCGGTCATTTCTCCGAGGCTATAAGACCGACACAAATAAGTGCCTTTTGAGTTGATTGCATTAAATAGTTTGTCATTGAGAGCAAAACACAGCTACTTTGTGGCCACTTGACTTCATCCAATATACGCTGCCATTTCCGAAAATAACCGACGCATCCCCGATTACGCCTGGTGCGGTTCGTACCAGTTCAAATAAAAAAAACTCGAGGTATACCTAAGCGCTTTTTATGAGTTGTGAATGCGAAAGCACGCACACCGCCGCTCTTCACTCCGTTTTTTCGTCTGCGGTGAACGGCACGCTGACCTGAGCTGAGGCTACAGAACTCGTGGTACCGCGAGTTCTTTTTTTTTTTTGCTCTCGTAGTGCATAGTATAGAGTTTGCTCCTGCCAAAAAAAAGAAAAGAAACTAGCTTTATTTATTTGGTTTAATAACCGAACGATGTAACAAAACTCCTCGTAAAACTCAAGCTCCACGTTAATAATTTTTTTTGCGTTTGAATAGAGTCGAGGCGGCGTTGTGTACGTCCTTTTTTGTTTCCATGTACCTAGTATTCACCAGCTCACCTGCACCCTCCATCTTCTTTCAGTCGAAAAGAGTGCAATTTTGTACTTTTTTGGAAGCACCGCGTAAGCGGTGCTTCCAAAAAAGTACAAAAGTGGAAGCACCGCGACCCGTAATGTTCTCGCGTCATTGAGACCTAAACTATGCTACGAAAATTAATCCTTTGTGCATTTCACTCGCACCGTCAGATGTGCCACGACATCCTATCTGCTCCTCAAATTTTAGTTTGCCCTCTGTCGGACAAATATCCCCCGTCCCTTCCTGTAGCATCCCAAATTAGGCAGCGTCGTTATGCAGTCGTGCGAGCGTTAGAAGGCATTGGCACATTTACTGCGCGGCACTGAAAAAAACGGAACAAACAATTAAGAAGAATAAATCCAACATGCGTGAGGTTTATTTGAGTCATATGCAAGTTCCTGTGTTTTCTTACGGTGATGACAACGTGCACAAAAGAGGACCGCGAAATGAAGGAACTCGTGCACAGTACTGCATGTGGGCTCCTTTCTTTCATCATCTTTTACGTTAGTCGTTCTGGCCGTTTAAAAGCACGTTTCACCGACCGGCCCGACTCTTAACGAGTTTGGACGTCTCTCGTCTGGTTGGCCCAGCAGCAGAGCCTGGTGAAACAGAGCAGCATGGAGGACTTCCAAGACATGGAAGGAGATGCCAATGCAGACGAGGAACTCAGGGACATGGAAGAGCGCCAGCCTCTCGCCATGGTGAGCTCATCTTTGCTCCGGGTAATGAAGGAACGGATAGCTAGACGGAGAAGACATTAACGGCTGTACCTTTTAAACGGGCAGAAACTTCCTCCACCTAGCCTAAAAAGAAAAACGAAAACACTGCATTTTTGTAATTATCACCAGGCAGTGTGGGATATCGCCGAGACGACCCCTGGCAAAATAGCAACCTCGTCGCGGTTGCCAGCAGGTGTTGGACGTAGTTTGTAAACGAGCTTGTCCGACCGCCTCTCACATGACGTGAGGTGAAGCTACAGTGAGTGACGTTGCTGCTGTTTGGATGCACTCCGAATGCGGCTGTCCGAACGAGGTGGCGTCCAGTGGTCCATCCTAGAGCAGAGACTCTGAAACTTTCCCATCTCGAGGAACGGCCATCTCTCTCGACCGATAGCCCAAGAACCTGTAGGCCACGTAATGCCCGTTCTAGAAAATGTTTAGCACAGTGTTCCGCATGGGTCGATGGCTTATGTTTGCTAAACTATCGCTTTAACGGAAAAAAAGTCTGGGAACTCTTTGCTCAGAAGCAGGGGCGGTCAAGGAATTTCTGGAGCTCCCCCCGAAGGTGCTCAGGGAACGGTTACGTGGAGCCCAGTTTGAGAACCCGTGTCCTAGAGATGTTCCCTTGGCGTTGAACACGTGGCCGAGAAGGGAGAGCTCCTGGACGCAGGAGACGTCGTCGTTGAGCGAGGACCAGGAGATGTCGTCCCTGCGTCCGTCCACTCCGGGGCCGGGCGGGGAGGGCAGGGAGGCCTCCGGTTCTCTGGACACGACCTTCACGCTGCCGGGTCCCCCGGTGTCCGAGGTCTCCAAGGGCCTGCCCTGGGTGCCCAAGGTGCGCCCCGGGGACGTGGACGCCTTCCTCGACTCCACCCGGCTCAAGTTTGTCGGCTTCCAGCTGCCCGACGACCGGACCACCCTGGCGGGGCTGCCGGAGCCCATCCACGAGGGGCTGCGCGTTCTCAAGCAGGTGACCCGCCTTGCGTCGACTGCCTTCGGAGCGACCGAAAAGATGGCAAGGTCACCGGGACAACTTTTCCCCGTGTGGAACGTGGCAAACGATTTCGAGAAATAGCTTTGGGGAGCGACTGGGAGTTACTGCTGTCCCGGTCATTACTGTCATTTTTGTCGCAGGGATTGCAACCGGCGCAAATGTGTGTCCCATTCTTAAACGCGGGGCACTTTCGCGACAGTCTATTTATACTCGTAACTCGGTCTATGGGCTGTAAGCATTTTAAGAAACCAAACATTACACTCGTGCGTCGCTGATTTTTGCTATTAAAATCGGTATCAAAGATGGATTACGTCGGAACTACCGCGGGCATTAGAAGGTGCCGTCGGTTGAGCTGAAAATTCCCATTAAATCCAATTGGAATTCGAACTGGTTTTAACTGCAACCACTTGGTTTCATCTGGAAGCACACTGGTCAGTGGGTCTCACCAATTGGAATTGTTTTTCCAGTTGGAACCTGAATGGGTTTCAAATGGTTCTCGTTGGTCCCTATTGGCAGTGACCAATTGGTTGTCCAAAAACCCGGTTGGTACCAATGGGAAAATTCCAATGGGAACGTAATGGGAATTTTCCACCGGGTAGACTCTAGAGAGGGTCTGTCTCCAACCATGGGGAGCGTATTTCGTGGTGTGGATTTGTCTCGAGTGCGAATGCGCCACACTTTTGCGTGGCAAGAAGGAAAGGCGGAGACGCTCGTGGATGGCCAACGCCACCTTCCGGCAACTGGTATTGCAACATAAACCAGGTGACCTCGTTTGAACAATTGGACACTCTCTGTAATACAGGCATTCTAGGGAAGGGCTTCTCCCCAGTCAACGGGATCTTGTTCTCCCTTCGCAGCCATTAGTGTATTGCAGCTTCTGAGACTGTCACCGGATGGTTCTTACTTTGAGAAAGGGTCTGTTGTCGGTTGATTTGGTGGGTCCTAAAAAGGCGGGGAAGTGCCGAGAAACGTTTGCCGCAATCGGCGTCCGTCGAGGAAGTGGAGCTTTCCTTTTTCCGAGCGAGGGCAAAAGGTGCAGGCGTCGTCTGACGCTTTGCGGCTTCCTCGTGCAGCACATGTACACCTCGCTGGCCGAGGTACAGATGAAGAAGGAAGAGGACATGGCCAAGCACCCGCTCTCCATGGTGAGCCGCCCGTCCCCCCCCACGGCAACCCCCGACCCGGTCTTTTCGGGTGCTCGCAGAAGGAGACGGAGATCCCGGCCACCCCCGCCGAGGTCCTCTACCAGGCCATGCTTCCCAGCATGCCTCAATACATGGTAAGTCTCGCAATCCCTCCGACGCCCCTCAAACTCTAAAAACTTTTCGACCCCAAGAAACCCTCTTCCACCTCAAACGGCGGCCGAGGTGCGGCAAAGCGGGGTATGGGAAGCTACGAACTTTGTAAACGCTAACACGTGTGCTAGAGAGGGTGTTACTTCAGCGAGCAACTCCCATCTGCTAACGTAGCACTTAAACTGGATAAGTGGTTTACTCGTGGACGAGGACAGTTGGTTTGGGAGCTCCGGAGAAGAACCCCCGGGTATCCAGTTTGAGCGCCCGTGTCTCGGAAGACCAGGCCGTGGGTTCTACGTCACCTATTGGAGGCCCGGATTGGACGCGAGTCGTTGAGCCCCTGTTGGCCTGGGGTGGTCGTCATTGAAAAAAAGTCGGTCCCTCCAGCTCGGTGATTCCTCGAGCAGACGTCGTCTTAACCGCGTAATCTCCGGTCTCCCGCTGGCACGAATGCAACCGATCCGACCGTACACAGAGGCAACCGCCGTTTCAGTTTGCGCGACTAATTCTGAAGAAGGTTGCTCTGCCGTTCGACGAGCTGCAGTTGTTGACGGGAAGAGAAGCGCGGGGTGCCTCTTTCGGATGCCCAACCTCCGGCGTGCGCTCGTTGCATTCCTTCGTGCTTTGGTTGCGTGCTCGAAGCCCGACGGACGCCGGGCTTTCGTCCAAGGTAGGAAGCCGAAGCGGCCGAAAGACCCTGTGGCATTCTCTTCCCGTCGGTGACTATGCATCCGATAGAATCTGTTTATGTGGGACCCTGATAAGCGAAACTTCTTCAAGTGTTTCAGAGTGGTCTCGGCTTTTGACGGGTGAACACACGTGGAGATACGTTTTTTTGTGTTTTTTTTATCTTAGAAAAATCAAAAGCGTCAGAGTCCTTTTTGATAAACTATCGGTCGCAAAACTTGGGCCGAGGACAAAACCTGCCTCGAGGTGCTCTCCTTCCAGGGAGGTGGCATTCTCGTTTGGCCGCTCCAATCCGAGCGAGCCGTCCCAAATTTGCAAATACAGTTCCAGAAAACAACTTCTCGCGTGCACCGACATTTTGTTATGCCCGAAATCCATCGCTGCATGCAAGCACCGGTCCATCTTTATTGATCTCTACCGAGAAAACTTATAAATAGGATTTTTTTTCATTTGTTTTCAAACAAAGCGACGCTTCCCAAAGGAAAGGAGAATGGGCAATTGAGCGTACGGCTTTGCAGTGCCTCGATTTGATGGCACTGTTCACTACGCTGTGTTTTGACAGTGATGGCAGTACTAAAAAGTCATTTTGGAAAAAAACAAGAAAAAAATAAAGAATGAAAAGTCGTTTTATTGTGTTTACTCAATTGTAGTTGACTCGATTGTAAGTCTTCCCCCCCCCCCCCCCCCATTGTGCATGAGCAAAAAAAAAAAAAAAAAAAAAACATTCTTTAGATGCGCATTTTCCGGCGAACCCGTGAGAATGGCAGGGTATCTCTTTCGAAATTGGTGCCTTCTGACGTGCTTTGGCTGCGCATGAGATGCCCAGGCATTCTCGAAACTAGGAAGCTCATGCTGCGCAACTGAAGCTGCTCCCTACGACTCATCCGCACCGGTGATGTCAGTCCCGTCGTCATCACTGCTACGTTCTCAAAGCACGTCGTTGGCATCGTCCAAGGAAATCTCGCACTTTGCAAATGACAGCGCCAACCGCGTCTTCCACGCTTGCTCGGCGATCGTGTTGCAGGTCACAGGTAGGGACCAGTTGCACACTTCTGACGTTGCAAGCCTGACCTTTACCTCCGAAAGGCATCCCACCTGTCCAGACTACAGCCCGCGGAAGCCTCTTCGTCTGCCGTCACAGTTAAGATCCCACGCTGTTGCAGACTCCACTGAGCACCAGCCACTCCGACGGGTCGGACTTGCATCCAGCAGAGCTGTTGGTCGCTTCTGGATGGAGAATGGTCAGAAACGGGCACCGAAAACTTAAACTGCCTGGATCACGCGTGTCAATAAAAAAACAAAAACATAGTTGGCACTCCAGCATGGTCTGGACGCTCGATCAAACAATGTGCGACTGTGAATTGTGCGAAAAACTGCCAAAAGAAGCCGCAGAGAGTAAGGCGTGAAGTTGGGCTGTTTCAGCGGCCAATCTTGAGTGGCTCTTACAAGAAGTGCCACCACCCCCGGGAGTCGGGCACACCGTGCACTGCTCACCGCCGAACATTCGGGCTAATTTGCGAATCACATTCAATAATACTCATTTGCAGAAAGTAAAAAAAAAAAAAGAGTTTGTAAATTGAGTGCACAGAATAGTGCAATGCTACACGTACAGCCGGGTGAACTCGTAACAAGTCGAGGTGCCCTCGATATCGCGATTGTTTTGTTTTTGTTATTGGTGGTGGAATGTTTTGGTTCGATTATAAGTCAACTTCAGATTTTCAAAAATTCTAAAATGTGTCCATCTTCATTTGTGTAAATATAATAATTTGGAGGTTGTTGCGGATAATGAAGTTGGAGCGGGTGACTGACTGTACAGTGTCCAAGACGCTGAGATTAATGAGAAACGCTGTCGGTGCAGTGACACGTCGCCACCATCCATGGGTGGCTCGTTCGGAAGGAGTTGGATATTCCAACACACTTGATGGTTGCCAGAGAGATGCTGTATTGATTGGCAACCCTTGGTCCCCTTGCCGACAGCAATGCTGCGACACAGTCACGTTCCAAGCTCTCCCATAGCAATGTGGAGAAGTTCCGTGACCATATTGAGAGGCGTAACTTTGTTCAGTGAAAAGGGAGAGTGAAGTCCCCGGACCCACCGACATAGTGTTTTACGGGCGGCCGTTAACTGCCGCTATTAGAGGTGCTGCCACGTGTTGTTTGGATAGACCCTTTTTGAAACTCAGTTCGGCAACTTTGATCGGTGTCATCATCGTAGTGTATGGCATCTTTATCAAACTAACGGTGGCCTTCTTGAGGCTCATGAAGGAACAAGTTCAAGATACTGCCAAGCAGAGGATATACGAGGCATATTTGAGACGTCCGTACAATATGATGCACCAATTAGACGCAATGCTACAAAAGCGTGCGGTCAAATCGGTTTTGGCACAAGCTGGCTCTAAAGCCTTTTGATGGTAAAAACTTAGTCCATGGGTCGCCTCTTTGTACTGCCAAGTTCTTACATTCACACCGTCGAAGCTGAAACAGATCGAGAAAGGATTATGAGGCCATCGAAGAACCGATCCTCATCTGCCATTGATGCGCAAAAGTGACGGTGCCCGATGAAATACAGTAAACTCTCACTTAAGCAAGCGTCGGTTTAACGAATATTTCAGAATAACAAACTTTAAAAAAATCTCCGGCACTTTTCCTATGCATTCTATACAAATATGTTTCAGCTAAACGAATTAACGAATTTCAAAATAGCGAATATCAGTTCGATGAACTTGGTCGATGGACCCAGGATTATTTTTGCAATTAGTTCAGCGAAGTTTTGTGCTCTGCAGTGCTGGCGTAGCCGATGCCCGCCGCCTCTGCAGCGGCGGCGTATCATCGCTGGCGTTTAGAGCGGCGCCGAGGCAAAGCGGCGGTGCGGTAGACCAAAGCGAACTACGTGGTGTGTGTGCTTTTTTTTACAGCGGAGCTGTTAAGGGCTAGGTTCCCCAGGATTGTGTCCGTGTATGTCCACACAAACCTACCTGGACAGCTACCGCCATCTATAAGCGACGGCGGCAAGCATACAACCAGTATGGTTTCCTCCATCGCTCGTAGATGGCGCCGACCTTTCCAGCTATAATAGAAGAATGCATACCGTAAAATACCGAGCAAGCGCCCACTCAAAATTATGGGATAATCGCGGAAAACTCGGGGATGGGCGCTTGTTACGTCCGAGAGCAAAAACGCAGAAGGATCGCACAGTCGGGTGGGCCCGTGCTCGGCCCGACTGCGGAATTCAAAATGGCGGCCATTGGATGCACTTGAAAAAGGGCCGTCATTCGCCGAGCGTGCGAACGTATAAAAGCAGACAAACCTTGCAGAAGCATGGATATGAACAGTTTATTGAGAGAAATGAAAAAAAAGAAGCACTAATAAACTCTAGTCTTTGTCAGTGAAGCCGTCAAAGGACTCTTCTGAGTCGGAACGAAACATTAGGTCCACACACTCGTCACAAGGACACCGCGGTCATGGTGCACGATTGTCGACCCAACGCATGCCAGTCGTCGGTGCAGCTCCCCGTCCTCGCTGCCATCGAGTGCAGTGCTGATTGCGCAGCCCTTGAAAGACTGACGAATCACATCTTTGGGTACTGTGGCCCACGCATTGGAGACAAAGTTGAGGACATCCTGCCGCGACGGCTTGCGCAGGTTTCCTTTGGGAGTCCTTTTGTCATGCCTCATGAATTCTTCCCACTGACGTCTCAGTGAATTCTTGAACGACTTGTTCCAATGTACATCAGCTGGTTGAAGGATGCCAGTGCAGCCAGCAGGGATGTCTACAATGTCTGTGTCGAGCGCCTTCACAGCATCAGTTACTGATTTCGTTTTGTGAATTGCAGCTTGATCAATGATAAACAGACGCTGAACATCATTGCAGTTACTACCCCAAACCCTCCGCAACCAGTCCAAACACTTCTCCCCATTCATCCATTTGTTTTTCAAAGATGTGACACAGACGTTGTCTGCAGGGGAAAAAAAAAATAATATAAATGAAACTCCGGTCATAGATGGCATTAAGACAATAAAAATATAAAACAACTTACCTGGAATGTGCAGCTGCAAATAGGCTCTCGCTGGAATCCTGCCAGTCGGTTCTTTCAATATCACGTATGCCTTGAGTTTGTGGCCAGATGCACGGGCTGCCAGAGCTACGGTGAAACCACAACAAGCACATCCCGTGTTAGCAATTCGGATGCTACTTTCGTCGACGGCATTGTTTGTTCTGTTCGCAGGATTGTCCATCCTAACCATCGTCTGGTTCATGTTACACACATTGTAATCCGTGTAGTCACTGCGAGAGCGCCAAGCCGCAACTCCGCTTCAAAAGGCATTCACTGCATCACCAAAGTCCGATGGCGCCTTCTGGCTGTCATTTGTGCACACCCGCATGGACACCGTTTCTTCCACCGTTTCACGTACTGCGACGACGCTTGGAAGTTCTCCAGGTCCAGTCCATCCGCAATCTTGATTGCTTCTTCCTCTAGAAGCCGGTTGCTGACCCTGCGTTCATCCTCCGAGAATTCAAATAAGGCATCATCAACCTCTTCACTGAAGACTGGTGCCCCGTCACGCAGCTTCTTGCGTTTCAGCCGTGATCTTCCGTGGTTCTGTTGCAGGAGCAGTTCGTATTTCGGAGCCCCACTCTGCACTCTTTTAGGGTCAATCTTGAATTCACGCGATGTCCAGCTTACATCCTTTCCGTGGCGCCTATGCCATTCAACAACTTGGACCTTCCTAGCAACTGTATACGAGTGCATCGTTCAAACAAGCGAACCGAGCAAATGCAAGCAATGCAGCGCGATGAACACGGAACTAACTGAACAACAAGCGGAAGTGGAGGGTCAGAGGCACTCGGCACGTGTGCAGCACACGCGCTAAGCTCTGTGCGGCTTTCCATTCGCTAGATCCTCCTCTCCAACGTATCTTAACCGCTTCACTCTTGCCACCGTGCCCCTGCCTCTCTTCCTTTGTACACCAGCTCGCCTGTGTCGTTTGTTATTTCTGCCATTTGACCTCGATTCCCGCGGAGTGTTGCCGTGTTGCGCCGGAGCCCTTTGCCCAATTCCCGCGGCACCCTTCGCCCCCTTCACCTGCGCTGCCTGACTCCTAACCAGTGCCGGTCGCTTTAACTTCAGGAGATTACGGTTGTCCGCGGCGACTGGGCGCTTGCCATGTCCTTCGCATATTCTTTGAAATTTGCCTAAAATGGGGGGGTGGGCGGTCGATGTGTCCTCTGTTTGTTTTTTAAATCGTTCAAAAATAGGGGGTGGGCCCTTAATGGGACATGGGCCCATGCTCGGTAGTTTACGGGAGTTGGGCACGTTGGTGGGAATTCATCGTAGGAAACAGCGCGAAAAACAGACGACGAAGAAGAAGCACACAGTGTATCGAGTACAGCTCCGCCGGTCTTCCTTCTTCACGAGAGTGGAAAGGCTCAACGTTTTTTGTCATCAGTTCGGTTCGGCCATCTTAGTTTCGGGTAACAACGGCGGGACGGCAGTTTGTGCACCCACGTCCGTAATGAGTACGACGAAACGGAAGTGGTTGTCTATCGGACAAAAAGCTCAAAATTCTTCGGCGTCTGGACAACGGTCCAAGGCAAGTGCACGTTGCGAAGGACCACGGGATTCCACCGTTGAAGTTGTCAACGATAGTGAAGCAGAAGTCGAAGCTTGAAGGAGAAACTGCATTCAGTCCCAACAGGAAACGGCTCTGCATGGGATATTTTGAGCCAGTGGACGATGCCGTTGCGGTAGGGCTTTGTCACAGCACCAAGCTGTGCCCGACAAAGGGCAAAAAAAGAATATGGACTCTCTGGACAGCTTTTTAACTTCATGCGCTGTAAGATCGCTGGTGCAAATGAAAATGACAGGTGTCTTTTCAAAATGAGAAAAGTAGCAACGCCACTGTTATGCGGTTTCTACATACCAATGTACATGACTCCATAAATTGCATTTCACACTTTTCACTCGATGTACGCTGTGCCCATGCTGTTCCTTATTCTAGTGAATATATTCAATTTAGTGAACTTTCAGTTAAGTAAACTTTTTCCTTGGGTCCCTTGAAGTTCGCTCAATCGAGAGTTTACTGTGCAGTTTTATGACCGCCGTTGGTTTGTCGAAAGTGAAACTGGTTTTTGAGCCGCCAGCTGGTACTGAATTTTGAGAGGGGTCTAGAGTTGCAACATTATCGCGAAACTAAGATTTTTTTTCATAAACATCACCGCGAACCTTGCCACAATATCTTTTTTATTTATAGATTGCGCTGCTGAAAATTTTGCTGGCTGCTGCTCCAACTTCGAAAGCCAAGACGGAGTCGGTGAACATCATGGCGGATGTTTTGCCAGAAGAGATGCCGTAAGTTTTTGCGCAGTCCGTCGGATCTTCGGGTCACACTATTTCAGGGGCCTAGGGAACTCCCGAAGCAGTGTGTTCCCTACTTGGGGCTGAGAAATCCCTAGAGTAGGTACAAAAGGTTTCTTCCATGCACAGATTCTGCCAATTTCTCTCCGATTTGCGCGCCACATATTTCACAAAGAAAGTCGAAATCGGCGCAAAAAAAATTACACGAGTTGGTTTTTATTATTTGCCCAAAGTGTGGCGTTTGCAAAATGTCAGTGCAGCTACTGTGTTTCGAGCTTCTACGACACTAAATTTGTAAAAGGGAGTTTTAAGTGGATTCCAAAGTCTCGAGCAAAACTGTTGTAGTGGAGCACGAAAGGCTGGTTTGGAGGTTTGCATTTGATTGACTGACTGCTCTACGGCCGCCCACGAGGAAATTGCCCGGACCTCAATCAACGTGGCAACCGAGGGTCCGCACCACGCGTCGCAGTGGCAGGGGTCGTCGTAACGCATCACGCTCGAATGACCGAAACAGCGGGCCTTTGTCATATGGCAAGCAGGTGGGTGTGTAGTAAACCCGCAAAACTGGAGGCCATGGTATAAGGACAGACATAGAAGGGGACCAAAAGAAATCACACTCTAAATGGATTTCAAGTCTCTGGAACTGGAGTAGAAAACAGGTCCACATTCAGAATGTACACTGCGCAACACGGTAGCACAAATTGGACATCCACCCGTCTTCGCTCTTTATGGGTAGCAGCTACGCTCCAAGCACTACATCTTACCGGCTCAGCTAGGGCCACACGTGAGCACATTTTAGCGCACTATCAGTTTAAATATCAGCCTCTTAATCTCTGGAGAAAAACGCAGATGCTACACTCCAATCTGTTTTCTGCGCACGCGCAATGCCCGTACCCGGTGTCGGCAAACTGGTTTGTAGATGGCACGTCGGTCCCTAACATCGTCAGAATTATGTAGAGCGTGCGGCGAAAGAATATTGCGTAAAATGGCGAGGCTTCCGGGGCGACTTACGGCGCATGTGCATCCTATCGTGAGCAGTCGATCGTGCTCGGACGCAAATGTGCGAATCTGCCTCGAAAGAGAAACTATCAGTCTCGAGTTTGTGCTGTTTGATGCTCTGTGCTGTTCTTTTAAGCTCGGCGAGCACCCAAATTGCAGTGCCCCCCCCCCCCAGTCTAACCTTCTACGGACTGAGCCATGAATTGAGTTGGTGTTGCGGGCAAAGCAACTTGCCCTTTGCACTAATATGTATATATATTTTACACCCCAAGTTAACACCTTCTCATCCTGTCTGTAGTCCTCCATTCTGTCTCATTCTGTTAGTGCAGTAAGCTCTCGTTCACTATCTCAACGCCTTTATTGCCGAGTATTGTCGGTTGGCAACAAAAAGGCAGGGTGTTCCTTCGGACTTTTTGAGGCATGTTGGGGTACCCTGGCACAAAAAACAGTTTAAGAACCCCTGCGTTAGATAATTGTATTTTACACAGACTCGTGCTGGAGGAAGCATAATAATAACAACTTTGGGGAGTTTGTCCACTGATCTGCCTCGGCGATTGTCTTTGGCACCTGGGAGAGTTAGTTGTCCGTCGCCGATGCCTTGACATTAACGAAGTAGCTTTACCGCATTTGGGAACTCGTAGATTTCAAGTCATTCTCGGGTACATGGACCAGGCGGCTCGAATAGGTAGTCAAGAAGACGCACCTACGATACCTTTGGCAGTTAGTGGTGGGACTTTTAAAGTATGTGCTTATTCACCGCGGGTCCTCAAAAAGAAGCAAAAGCAGTTGCCAATTAGAAGAAACATACTCGCCCCGGAAGCTTGGCCATGCCTTTCTTTGTTTACCTCTGAAGACACTGCACGATGCATTCTGCGTTAAAATAAAGAAAAACTGCACCGTCCACCACGAGCCCCGGAAATGGTGCAGAAACACATTCTGCGTATACGGACTTCATCCGTTAAATCAAACGAAATCTAGCATTTTTTCTTTTAGTCCTTCTCAGCGTCGCAATTTGCGGAGATTTTCTTAATGTGTCTCACCTAAAGTGTCCTTGGATCTGGCGGCAGCATCACGGTGCTGCAGTCCATGAAGCTGGGCATCGACGTCAACCGCCACAAGGAGATCATAGTCAAGGCCATCTCGGGCGTGCTGCTCCTGCTGCTCAAGCACTTCAAGATCAACCACGTGCTCCAGTTTGAGTACATGGGCCAGCAGCTCATGTTTGCCAACTGCATCCCGCTTGTGCTCAAGTTCTTCAACCAGAACATCAACTCCTACGTGGGGGCCAAGAACACGTGAGTCCTCCCCGGCCGTCCTGTGTCCGACACTCGGTGAGGGCCCGTCGGTCTCTCCTCGTGCTGCTCTTTCTTGCGCACCTCAGGTTTGCACGCCCAGCGTGGAAACATTCCTGCTGGTCACTGCTTTGCGGGACTGTGCCCTTTGACCCCAAGACATAACATCCCCGGGGGGGGTGGCATTCGGAACACAGACACCAACCTGTCAACGTTTTGTTTGCTCATTCGGTAAACATACAACCATGACCCAGTGGCCCATGTAAGCCGCGCTTGCGCCAGGCTGCAGCTTTGTATGTCCAAGGCCTGTACATACAACCTGCGCCGTTTTATCTTACAACTTGGTATATTTTGAACTATGGTGGTCTTTGCAATAGCAGCGGGGCTACATCGTGAGTTACTCCCATTGGCCGAAGTAAGCGATAGACGCCGTGATACGAGTCTCTTTATGCGATTGATTGCGCGGAGATTTACCGACCCAACAACGTCTCTTACGTACGACGAATTGGTCAAGTGTGACCAAACTACAATTTTTCAAACGCTGACCAAAAAAACTCGTTCCTGCTTCGTGCTTTATGAATGCAGAGTTTAGTCGGAGAATTAGTTAATCGAAGGGTAATAAAAGGCTTTTTTGGTCGTCATATTTAATTTTATTGTTTCTCATTTCTTTCTGTCATGTACTAAATAAAATCTGGGTAAAACAATCTTGGCCGGGGTTTAGCCGGGACAAAAATGGACAAATTTATGCGCCTCCACTTACCTCGGACGTGAATGCGAGTGAATGTTTGGAAATTCTCTTTCCACTCTCGCACGCAGGATCTCCGTGATCGACTTTGCAGCCTGCGTAATCGGTGAGCAGCCAGAGCTGACAGCAGAAACGCTCGTAAGTGCTTCAATGCAGAGTTTAGAAGGAAACTATTTTCTTAATGCCTGCATGGGTCATGTATGCCGCTAAATAAACCTTCCCCTTGAAAAAAAAATATTTTTAGCTGAATATGTCGGGACACTCGTTTGAGCAATTCCGAAACGACGTCTAGAAGGGGTGTGCTTCTGAATCGCTCCCAACTCAAAGTAAATCTTGCACAAATATTTTGCTCAAAACTTCTTTTTTTCTGGAAAAGTTATTTAGAGAAGAAGAAAAAAAAAAAGGAAGGTAGAAGTGCAATGGTTCCTTTGAGTGCAGGAGATAGGTGAGCAGCAGCCGTACTGTTGGAGGAACGTCTTTTCCTGCATCAACCTGCTCAGGGTCCTCAACAAACTGACCAAGTGGAAGCACTCTCGCATCATGGTAAGGCGCTTCTGGAAACGACGCTTTCCTCGGCGGTGTGCTAGTACGAAACGGCTCATTGCCCATGTACAGGGTGTCTCCCCCCAAAACAAATGTGTTTTCTTCTATTATAAAATGAACTACCGTAATATTCTAATTCATCACCCACCTCACTTTTTGGGTGATGAATATCCAAAAGAAACAGAGTGATCACCCACCCCTAAAAATACCCCAACGTGGACTTTGCGATCTGCACCCGAATGACACTGCCATGTACTGGTTGGAGGACGTCCGTGAAAAAGTAGAACGAAGGAAGGAAAGATACTTCACTTTGTTTATGCACTTCCTCCTCGATTTCTGCGACCCCAAAGTCGGAGTCCACGCGTGCGAGAGATAAAGAATGGGGATAACAAAATGAACCTTTGGTTTGCTTACAACAAAGTTCAATAGGACAAAAAAAAAAAAAGGAGACTCTGAAAGATAACGCAAGTAGGAACCCATTCAGGGATGGCGAGGTCAACGAACGCCCCAGATCCTGGAATGGAACCGCAGAGTGTGAGGTCAAAGTTTATCGCTACAGAATGTCACGACCGCAGTTGGTAAGGTTGTGCAATGTTTGAGAGAAATGAACTCTCGAGTAATTCTAATCTTAAAGTTTCCTCAAAATGTGCCTAGACCAGCCAAAATGGTCCTATTTCTGGATCTCCTGCGTTCTCAGAGAAAATTCAAAGGGCTGTACAACGTTCTTTACTTTTTAATTAACTTCCAAAAGAGTCATTATTCGTGCATTCTTGAAGCTCGGGTTTGCTTAGGGAAATTTGCTCACTGAGGGACGAGCGGGTGAATCCCCCTTAGGTCACTAGTTTTCCCCATTTTCCCTGCCCTTAAGGGCCTGAATGTGTCTCCCTGGAAACATCATTCCTTCAGATCTGATATTTCACCAAATTGTGAAGAGCTCATTTGTTCTTTCTTCGATGACTTTCATTTTGAATCATTGTTTTCGTTGCGCTTGTTGATGCACCGAGTTGGGAAAAGAATATCTATTTATCTCGAGTGTTTTGCATTTCATGTTATTTAACATCATTTCAAGTATTGACAGTTGTATGTATGGTAACTCTACTGGGTGTTTTAACGAAGACTTCCAAAAATTGCTAAAAATAGGGTAGTTGAGAAAAAAGAAACTCTTCCCAGGAACAAACTGGCAGCCGCAGCAGACGTCGGGGATTGCAAAATAAATACCAATCGCAATATAATTAACTAAAATTTTGTAATACAATTTTTTATTAGTGAAAATAAACACGATTCTAGTTGGAAATTTTCTGAGCATCATCAGAAGCCACTAAATTAACTCATTTAGAAACGTACGAGGCAGGTGACGCATTTTTCCCCCGTGTTCCGAAAACGCTACATGTTGAGGCATTTCTAGGTTTCTGTTTTTGCGTCGGAGCTTCCCTTTGCACCACTGGTCCTGCCCTCGTGTGGCCAAGGCAGGAAGCTACGACCCCGCTTCCTTCGTAGCATGGAAGGAAGTATGGCGCATCTGCGTTGCATGCCTCGGCCACCGGGGGGCAGGACCAAAGGTGCACTCCGACAGAACACCGAAACCTAGAAACGCATCCAAATTGAGTGGTTCTGTGGAACACCATAAAATGTTGCACCTGCCTTACATCTTTGTAAAATATCGGCTGATTTAATGGTTTTTGACAATGCTTTGCAAGTTTCTAATTGGAAACATGTTTATTTTCCCCAATTAAAAAGTTAATGAACAAATATTAGTTTATGAGCTGACTTACCGTGATGATTAGTCCTCTATACTATGTCCACCTGGCCGTATAACTCACACAGACTGCATTAGTGTAGCTTTTGCGGCATTTTTATAATAAATCTGCAAGGCCTAAAAAAGAAACGCCCTGTATTTAGGTACGGGTGATTTCATCTCAAATTGTGGGGGCAAAAGGGGTAAATTTTCTAAATTTTAACGAAAAGAACATATCTTGTGAAGTTTCTACCTAGAAGAATGGCAAAAGCTGCGTGTTCGGATAATCTTTTGTTCTCGAGTTATGGGGCACAAAAGCAGCCGTGGTAGAAAAGAGTGTTTTTCCCCGACTGTTGAAAGTCGCATGTTTGACTCACTTCCTTTTCATGCTTCTTGCCTCTACGTATTTTCATTTTTGTCTATTACTCTGTGAATGCGACGGGGCCATGGATTCCAAATGGACGCCATGCGGTTACCATCGTAACCGCACCTCGCCGCAGCTGCGGCGAGGTGCGGAGGAGGCGACATGGTAACTGTGCGTTTGTCGGCCTTTGCGAGTGGTTCTCTTTAACATTTTCTGCCTCGAGAATGGAAGATAGACCAGAAATCGATGCAGTCCTCTGCGCAACTGACAAATTGCTGCATCCTGGATAACGTGATTTTCATTTGATCTTTTCAGTGATGGAACGAGGTGTTGCAACATTCACTGACAAGTACTTTAAAGCACTCCTCGCAATTATAGCAATCCTGTTTTCAACTCGCAAGTAGTTTGTGCCGGAATAATATATTGTTTTTTAATTAGCGTTATTTGAGAGTTTTCATTTATATGTATAAAACTAAACTCGGAACTATAATGCTCAACGTTGTGCATCCAACATTCCTAACTCTTCCCATCTTCCTAAATGTCCGCGTGTGTCCTAACACCAGAAACCGGCATTTTAAAAGTTAAAAACGAGACGTTGCGGATATGGGATGCACAGTTTTCCGCAAAGCTGGCATCAAGCGACTCCAATCGAAAAGCATGCATACTTACAATAATATTATGTCTTCTGGTGGAAGCTGAGCAGCCGTTGCATTCATTTTCGCGCACGAAACGGTGACTCACAGAGAAAGTAAGAATGCGGTGTTATTGCCTTCATCTTAACAATGTGCACACTTGCAGGCTTGCGCTGACAAGGCCTCAAAACCGAAACTCTCATACATATCATGACTGCGCCTGCTACCACCCAACCTAGTTCTTGCACCACTTCCGAGAGAAATCACTAAAATTGCCAGTAAACACACAGAAATGACTCTTATACAATTATCTTGTAGAATATGCCACTTTATTTAGTAATAACTGTGTCAATATGCATTATACGTTGTATTTGAAATTTAAAAAAAAAAAAAATAATAACTATTTAAGTCTGGTGACAAAGTATTTATGCTGAAAAGTTTGGCAAAACCGAACTTAGGGTGCAGCTCCGAAATTTAGAAAAGTTTGGCAAAACTTCGGCTTTAATTTTCGGTTCAGTAGAAGTGTGGGCCATCACTAGTTTTCACCTGTCTTCTAATTAGTAAAAATTGGACCCCTTTTGTCTGCACAATTTAAGATCAAATCACCCACGTACATATGAGGACTTTTCCGACTTCCTTGCTTTCCTCCTCACGTAATGCGTCGCAAGTTGCCTTTGGTGTAAAATGAAACTTGAACCCCGAGCAGTAGGTGCTGGTCTAGACGAGTCTGTTGCGGGCTGAGAAATGAAGCAAGAGCTCCTTTCAGAAAGCCCCTTCACTACTTCTTCATACTGACTTCCCTGCTAAGAATAACTGTCAGTTTGAACAAAGCAGCATTTTCTAGAAGTACCTTTAGTCTTTATTGTGAATGCACTTATATTTTTCTTCGAGATATTAGGCGTCAAGAGAAATTTTAGGTACTATTGAAACTGTAATACACCGACATCTTGGTAAGAGTCTTTCCAAGTGTGTGCAACTGGCAGTTGCCAAACGTCAACTGTCAGTTGTACACACTTGAACAAGGAAAGACTCTTTCCAAAACGTCTGTGTATTAAACTCTCAATTGTTATATTTAAATTTTTTTTTTTTTTAGCTTTTACTTTTTTATTGTACGTAAAAGTCCGAGGGGCTGGGGTTTCCACTCTGGTGAAGAAGGGAGACTAGCAAAGCTGTACTATGGTGGGACGACCTTAAGGACGGCTTTTTGGATGACCTTGAGGACAACACCTAGAGGACGACTTGTAGGACAACCTCAGGGACGATGTCTGGAACGACATCAAGGACAATGTGTAGGACGACATCAAGGATAATGTCTAGGACGACCTTGAGTACGACGTCTAGGACGACCTCAAGGATGACTTCTAGGACAATCTCAAGGACGTCTTCTAGAACGATGCCTAGAGAAATTCAGCCTTTCCACACTGTTGAAAACCAGAGTGGAAAGGCTGGAAAGGTTGCCGCCGTCGATTCTAGGTGGCTGTAGCTGTCCAGAGTTTTGTGTAAACATTTATTTAATGACGGACACGAAACTGGGGAAACTAGCCTTTAACAGCTCCGCTGTAAAAATACAAAATTGTCTTCCGACGGGTCCCTAGCTCCCGGTTACGCCACTCGGCAAAGAAACAAAATGAACAGGAACAAAATTCACTCACGAGCATCACCTTTTGCACTGAAGTTTGTGCAAAAAAACCTCCTCGTCACTTTGCTTGGCCAGCGGGGGTGGTGCTGGAAGTGGCGAGGAGGCTTTTTGGGAGGGCGCAAATACTTTGGATAAACGGCTGTTTGGGTTGGTGAAGGTCGCACAGAGGAGGGTACAGTATTCTGGGACAAAAGAGAACATGTCCTCCCTACAGATGCTGGTGGTGTTCAAGTCTGCGCCGATCTTGAAACGGACGCTGAAGGTGAAGCATGCCACGATGCAGCTGTACGTCCTGAAGCTGCTCAAGATGCAGACCAAGTACCTGGGGCGCCAGTGGCGCAAGTCCAACATGAAGACCATGTCGGCCATCTACCAGAAGGTCAGGCACCGCCTCAACGACGACTGGGCTTATGGAAATGGTCAGTCTCTTTTCCGCCTCGGTCGGAGGACCCGTGTACCGCTTTTCCAGAAAGGTTTCCACCAAAGCCCTTTATTCGCTGCAACCGGCGGTGACGCGAGCTATCGCGCCGTTATGAAACGTGCAACTATCGCACATGCTGCCCTCGTCAAACTTGGCTAGGTACGTAGCCAAGTTTGTGGGTAAATTTTTCCCGCGGTTAAAGTTAACTGCAAACGGGCCCAGGTGGTGGAAGTCCCTGCCTAATTCAAAGAGTTGAGCGAGGGCAAGCTTTGCTCTTGCTCGCGGACAAAGAGTCCGCGAGTGCAAGCTATCGACTGCACATAATGAAAGACAGTGCTCAAAAGGAAGGAACGTGGAACAAACGAGCACTGTGCAATGATCACCAGCTAGCCCAATTTACCACCTTGCTGCAGTTTATATCTCGGTTGCGTCGTCTTATTTGGAGCTGTGGACGGACGTTTGTTTCTTACATGTTGTGCGTCCTTCCCTTCAGACCTCGACGCACGCCCATGGGACTTCCAGGCGGAGGAGTTTGCGCTGCAGGCGAGCATCAACGGCTTCCACAGCCGGCGCTACGACAAGCCCTCGTCTTCCTCCCAGCAGCAGGACGCAGCCTCCGACTTCCAGCCCGTAGACAACAACTTCCTCTCGGTGCTGGGCCGGGATCTGGAGCTGAGCCCGGAGTTCAAGCTGCACTACGAGTCCTGGCTGCACGGGGACGTCTTCCGCACCACCGTCGACTGGGACCGCCTCCTCAGCCCGGGCTACCTCTAGAGCTCCCTTCCCATCTGGTCCTGCCCACCCATCTGGCCCCACCCACTTGTCTGGCCCTCCCCTCTGCCTTCCCGCTACTGGAGCACATGGCTGTTGTGATTGGGCGAGACATTCTCTCTCTCTGGCATCTTCCCAGGGGCAGATTTATGGCTTCGGGGGGGGGGGGGATTTGGCTCGAGGAGGGATATATTTTCCCTTCGTTAAACCCGCCATAGTCACTCTCCGCACATTGCATTGGGACTTCACTGTGCGACCTTCTGTTCCGTATCTACTATGCTCCGTCTCACAAATGTCCGCAGTAAAGACAAAGGCCTAGCTCAGCAGAATGCTTTTGTTTGTACGAGAACTTCTCGCGTAGAGCCACTTTCCGAGACCATGCGCTCATGCCTTTGTCTGCACCGCAGATGTTTGCCAGATGGAGTCGTAATGTCCGCACCCTTCTACACCGGGTCGCTGGAACGTTTGCTACCTCGAGTCTGCGAGGTGTGGCGTGATCTTCGGTCCAACCTAGCAATGTGCCGTTTCATTCCTATCGTCGAGGCAAAAATGATCTCCTCCGCGACACGTCGTGCACCTCGTCGAAAAAAAGCAGTCCGAGCTCCACCCGAACCGACGAAGAAGGGAGCCCCACTTTCTGCCTAACCTTTGCCACTTCCCTATGCTTGGAGAAGGGAGCCAACCAACTCCGTCTTTTGATGCCAGTGCGTACTACTTTGGTGCAACTCGAAATCTCGATGCAGCGGTACGTTAGTGCAACCCCATCTGTTGATACACATCAGGGTGCAGCTCCACATGTTGATGTCTGTTGATACAACTGCACATGTGGGTGCAACTGCATGCACCTGCCGTGCAGAGCGCTCGGTGTGGGAGACTGAAGGAACCATGGGATGCCGAGTACAACTTCCATAAGCACTCTTTCGGAGGATGCGGCCCCGACAGAGGGGACGTTCTTTGCCCCGTCTTCTGACGAAAGTTTGCAGATTCTGTCCCCTGTAGAGGGAGTAGCACTTTATGTACTGCATTCTCCTGTCTGTAAAAAGCAGCGCCTACCCCGAAACGTTGTCCCGTTTTGTTACGGAGACCGTAATCTTCGAAATCTCCTTGCTTGCAACGTTCAGGTCGCACACTCAACGGCAAAATGGCCGTTCAACAGCATCCCGCCTCCACTCGAAAGTGTTTCCTCCTATTTGAAAGCTGCATTTCGGTTTTAGGTGTCTTCTTGTACATAGCTCGTGCTTTGCTCCTGTTCTCTGAACATCTCTCTTTCAAAGAGCAAAGGGTATTTAAAGGAATAAAGTATCCAAACCGAGCCTCGTTTTCCTTGTCGTTGTCTTAATGTATGGTGTGCCACGCTAGAAAGGAGGCTTTTGTTGTCTGTTGTTACCAGAAGCAGGTTTAACATTGAACTTGATTCAAAGAGATTGTCCAACAATTACCTGCCTTTCCTAGGTCAGAGCAAAAGGGCCCAGCTTGTGTGTCGTGCCTTGGCACTATGGAGGCTACGGGTCATGGTGGAGGAAGAGAGAGCTCTGAATGGCGCTGCATGGAGCCATTGTGTTGCCGAGTGCTGTCAACAACCACTAAACAACTTTCAGAAAGACTGAATGTGTGCGAAGCTCGTGTAACAGGCACGAGGCTGGCAGTGAAAAAAATGCGGATGATGAGCGTTATTGCACCGGTATTGCCACCCGAGCTTTCAGAGGCGAGATCACTCAGATTCTTCCATCTACGACTGTTTTTCTTAAACCACCACATACCCTGGTCATATGAACCGTGAAAAAAAAGCCACTCCTACCATCCAACTTCAAGCTGGTCAAAGGGGCTATCATAAAACTCCGTCTCAACAACTCACCGAATTATGCAAACATTCTATACAAGAAAGCTTCCATCCACAAACCTCCCGGTTAACATGGGCGGGACACCCTAGTCCCTTACTAACGTCGATCGCTCAGAGCCGCCTCGAAGCAAAGGAGAACAGTGGACTTCGTGAAACGAAAACCAGGGACAGGACACAACTAGACCTGTAGTTGTAGCCTACATTCACAAGTTCTCCCATTGTCTCAAAAATTTAGCCAATAGGACAACGTTGAAGTGTTCTTCACCACTCCAAACAAGCTCTCCAGCTTATGCAAAAACATTGGGAGCCATTCCACTGTGTTAAGGTGGATGACCACCAAAGCCATTTAGTACACGACACGGACGTGACACAGAATTTTGAATAAAGGTACAAACACATTTATTGTCTCGATCGGTGGTCGTGACAAAAGGTACGCGCACACACATGCCGCCGTTGCTCTTTGGGTGTCTGGACTATACGCGGCTTCCCATTGCGACGAGAAAAGTGAAATTGAAAATGGAGAATGGCGACTTGTCTTTCTGGATTTTTATGTACAGTAAAACCTCGTTATAACAAAACGGGATATAACAAACTAATGGATATAACAAAGCAATCATAATTCCCCTTGCTTGCTAATAGTGGGAAGAAATGGACATTGGCTATAACAAACTAATGGTTATAACGAAATAATTACGACCGCTCCTTCAACTTTGTTATAACGAGGTTTTACTGTACATTCGAATGGACGCCTATCGCCACCTTGAGGAGCCCGAGGAAACTAGCCGTGCGACAGGGCTGCCACCCCAGGAGAGCGGAAGGAAACTGGGCACGCAACCGCTTGGGACGACCAAAGAGAGGGCTGTGCAATTGTACAGTTTTTGGTCATGCACATGAAAATTGCTAAATCACCCAAGCTTCAAGGAGAATGCAGGGAATGGTGTTCCACGTGCTGCATGCCTTTCCCGTATAAAACATTTGAAGTAAATGACGAAAATAAAGCATTGGACCAACGTGCGTGCAAGATGCCATTTGTTTAAGGCTTTTGCTTCAGACGGTTAGTGCTCTAGACGCCGGCACGTGCGGTGCTAGCCGCAGTTTTTCGTCACGCACACGAAAAATCGTATGAGTGACGGTGCCCTAGCCATAAACAGCTTCGCTGTAAAAACTGCACCTTCACACATATCTGAACTGCACTAAAAAATAGACCAGCTTTGTTCAGTGCACAGAAGTGGTGTACTCCACTCCCCCCTTTTTGTGGTAAACAATACGTTGGGCAGACTGGAGGGTGTCCCAACGATAGACTCTGCGAACGCAACACCGCCAATGTAAAGTCTGGACATGTAGGACTTCACAGCTGGAATGTTGGGGGTGCGGCAAGTGTACGCAGCTTGACCGTCCTAAGCAGGCGGAGTAGCCCCTGGGAAATCATTGAAGCCAACCATATTGTTAGGCTCGACGATAAGTGTGTTAGTACTCCACCTTGTCAGAGTTAGTTTACCACAAGAAGATAATTGCGGACAATTTTGTGCATTAATAGACGTAGAAGGAAACAGACGAAATGCAACATAGAGTTCAGGGCGGTGCGAGTCTTGTGGTCGGTAACATGCGCCAGTAGCCTTGCTCCGGCTGCCCCAGTGTAACTTTTCACTCTACCGTGCTTGCCACATTCTCAGTCTTTCTAAAAATGATCGATTGAGTGGTTTTGAAGGACGGGCAGCAAGTTTCTAATTGAAACCATGGTAATTTTCACCAATTAGAAAGTTAACCAATGCAGTTAATTAGCAGACTTTATTGCGACGATTAACTCTCTAGGTTATGTCCCGCTGGCTGTATAACTAGGGTTCGGAGTTTTCGGTTTAAAGCGATAAAAGTATATCTAATCCGTTTCCTAAACTTCGGTTTAAACCGAAAAAGGCGTTTTCTAGGGCCGCGTCGAGGTGGGTGGGGGAAGGGGGGGAGAGAGGGGGCATTGTGTGGACGTTTTTGTGATTGCCCTCTTCCAAGGTTCAACATGGAACTAAAGAGGTCTTGGATTGGCCTTCACGGGACATGTCTGTCCTTTCTGTTATTATCGGGCTTTGTGTGCCAAGTACCCAGTCCTAAAAAAAAAGTTTGGATGTGGGCTAGTATAGGGTTTTTCGCATCATGCTCCTCGGAGGACATCAAGGAAAGTTGTTAATAGCTTTCTTAACACCTCTCAAACTTCCCTGTGGTTGAGAACATGAATACAATGGATTTTTTTTTTTTTTTTTTGGGCCTTTCTACTGGTTCCTGTTCGGTCACCAGCTCGAATGGTTACATCGTCAGAATGGGAAGGAAAAAAGAAGCGCACTGAAGATTATGCCTGCAACTTTGAGGCGTGTCCTGAAGGAAGTTTAGCAAAGACCACGTACATATATGTGCGGTTCTTCTTCCAGTGATCACAAATATCGCAGCTACAAGGACCACTTGATCCGGTGTCCGATGGTGCTTCTCTCAAATTTACCGAAAAAGACCGGTAATTGTTTATGGGAATAAATATACCCGGCAAAAAAAACAAAAATTGAATCTTAAAATAAACACCGAAAAAAGTAGGTTAAATTTTGAAAAAATAAAAAAAAATAAAATGCGGAACTCATGTGGCATGTAGCGAGGGGGTCCGTGGAATCTCCCCCTCCCCTCCCCTCCCCCCCCCCCCCCCCTACCAATATCCTGGAAATGTGCATGCTGTACAAAATGTGTTAAAGTAACTTTCATGTTTTTTCTTTAAACAAACCTAAAGCTGCAATATGAAGCACCCTGTATCTTCTCCCGAATATCCCCTTTATTGTTTTTTTTGAAATTATGTTATTTCTGTCATTCAGCTGGCACACAAAGCTTTACAAGAAAAATATTTTACTGCTAGCGAAGTGCAGAAAACTAAGTGCACATATGGCACCCAAACATACCCTGGTTCGATTAATATTTCAGTCGAGCGAACATTTGGGTCAGATTCAAAGGCAAAGTTTTCTCTACAATTGCCAAAACTATAAACATTTCTCTGCGTCCAACAGTTTTGCAGTAAGCCTATCCTTGGAACTAAGAGGTGGCAGCAATGAGATTACTATCAAAGGGGAAAAAAAAAAAAAACTGCTCCATCAGATTCCAAATTGACAAGCTGCCAGCCCATGGATCCAGTTGGTGGGTTTTCGTTGCACATTCATAACAAATACGAAAAAAAATTTTAATCGCGCACAAACGCGCGGTTTGGCCATTAGGCCCCTGCCGAGGTGCTGCTGTTGGCAGGGCTCGTGCACAGACACCTGGCACAAATCTGGTTCCTCGGGCGCATTGCCCTAGAATAGTTCCATTCAATCGAGTACTTGTCAGATGGAATGTGGAAAAAAAAACATTTTCCAAAGCAGCATTTCTACGCTGGTTCTCACCTCGAGGACCGTAGTAAAAAAAAGTTCAGCTCCTCGCAGAGCCTTACTAATGCCCCACTTTATGTAGAGAATGATTATATATGTAGGTGCATTTTAGATAGTGTTTCAAGGGTCGAAAGCATCCCTTCTTCTGACAAGCAAATTTTGTAACCGCTTTACCCGGCATCTAAACAATGTGCAAAACTTGCTTTTCTCCTCGAGGTGAAAACGAGCTTAGCTTGGGAGTGCGAGAGGTTCCACAATGGAGCTTTTGTTGCAAAGAACGTAAGTGCTGAAGAATGAAACATTTCCAGAAAGATTATTGAGCAAACGGGAGACCAATGGAGGAGGACTGCAAGAGGGAAATTCCAAGGACCCGTTGGTTCTTTTGAAGCGTCGCACATGGGTGCTTTTCTTCACCATCGCTGGGGCTTCTGTCGGAGCGACCAAGGGCAAGAAAAAGCCAAGGCGACCAAAAAGTATGCTTTAATAACGATAGTTACAGGAGGCCTAGCATACACACACCAGAAGAGACGCTGGACCACTTCCTCTTCGTAGAAAATAGTGTCGACGCTCGCGAGAGGCACGGGAATCGTCTGCTTCCTCCAAGGCATTACAGAGGGGCCAGGATGTCCGAATAGCGTACATAAAAACAAAAATTGGGCATAAAAAGAAAACATAGCTAATCGGAACAAAATTGGAAGTAGCACCTTTACATTCGGCCGACAATAACTGTGCGGGAAGGCAGTTCCAATACCAGCAATGTCGTGGGCGGGAAAGACGCGATGACCGACACTGGGGACCTTATTTCGATGAGAGTCCAGAGTGTTCTTTTAAGAGACTGGGTTACGACGATAGACCTTTCGAAATAAAAAGAACTTCAATACTCTCCCGCGAAGCGAAAGGTCGAGCAAACCCAAGGTTGTTTTCACTGCCGATACACTAGATGTGCAGCGAGAGTTATGAATCGGGCAGAACAGTTTTGAACGGATTCTAGTGATAGTGAGTTTGTTTTTGCGGGGTCACAGATAGCTGCAGCACATACAAATGTTTTAAAAAGGAGTAGCTTTAGGGACAGGAAGTCCGGAGAGACGTTCCTTTTCAAGAAGCCTAGGATGCAATTAGCATCGTTGATTACACACTCAGTCCGAGTGTTCCAGGAAAGATTGTTGGCTATGTATACGCCAAGATATGTATAGTACCAAGATACCGATTCCAGTGTCAAACCTTTGTTAGGAGGACAGGTATTATTGTGGATCTACACTCGTTAATATCCAGTTCCATTTGCTCTTTATGACATCAACGGGAAAACATTATCAAGGTCAGACTGCTTTAGTAAAATCTCAAGAATGTGCACACAACTCGAGATGAACGGTCAAGAGAGAGACGAGGAAGCGTCAACAGGCGAGACTCTCAGAAAAGCAGTTTTCTTCTCGAGCCCCACCGAGCAAATCGAAAAAGGTCTCGAAATAAGAAAATTAACGACACGAGAGTAGATGTGTTCTAAAATTTTATCATCTAAAATTATAAATGGAGGACAGGGGACCAGCAGACGTAAAAGAGAAACTGTTTTATGTACATATACAAAAAAAAATACTTGCACCTCAAAAGAACAAAAAAATGTGCGGTCACAGCAAGCCACTGTCTGAAAACAGAAACACGCTCGAACATGACCAAATGGCCAAGTAAAAGAAACCCACTGCGGCTATTATTTCTTTTATCGGCCACGCAAGAGTTAAAACCCAATTGTGCATCGAAAGCTTCTCGACCAAAGGCCGGCACCCAATTGTGTTTTCGGCAGCGTGGGTGCCATTAAAACGATCAATACTTTCGGGTATAGTTTGGAAAGGAGATTTTATCACACAGCCACAAGCCCATCCAAAAACCGCCCAATGGGCAGCGCAGCGACTGGCAAATGCACGGGGAGGGTGTCGCCGCGAACACTGTACAACGAAGGCAGTGCAGTCCACTCGAGCGAGAACAGCCCTAGCGAGTGGAGACGAGATGGAAGGCATTGCAAACACAACAATGGCGTGTCGTCGGAAAGGCTGCTAGCATATATAACTCTTTCCCACGTTTTAATCTTCCACAATTGGTCAAACATTTGGTGTCGCGTCGCCCCAACAATGCACCAAGCTCCCACCCCGCCGTCAAACGGTTCTCCGGTTAAAGACCCACCCCTTCCGGGATAAACGCGACCCCAAGTTTGCACTTTCTTTCCTGACTAAACGCTTTGAGACCTGGAGAGTGTGAGATACCCCAAAGTCCCCCGAAATGCCGCAACTCCACGGAACTTGCAGCCCCGCTAACGACGCGCAACTTCCAGAATGCGGCGCCTTGCGGCGAGCCTACGATCGCGTAGCTTTCCCAACACCCGCAGAATGCGCGTCAAACTTTCCCACCGACCCTCGGCCGTCCTCCGAAGGACTGGCAACCCCACTCTGTGGAAGTGATGCCCCATCCCTTCCGCAATCGGGAAAAGGACCGCGGCAGACGACTAATCCGGCAGAAGTTGTCCACAAGGTCCTTCGGCCGGCTGTTTGGTGAAAGAGTTGCAGTGAAGGCGGTGAGAGGGGCACGACGGTGAAGAAACGGCAGCGAGGGGAGCTCCTCTGGCCCTTGGCACCGGGAAACTAGAACAAGACGCACTTCGTCTTCTTTGGCCTCTTGACCTGCAAGGACCGTCCAGTGCTCGTGAGAATGACTGCGCACAAAGCAGACGTGCGGATGCATCACCATTCCACAGAACGACCGCAACGTGCCAACCACAATTACGCTTTCCCAACGTCCCCCAACCTTGTACGAGTTTTCTCACCCAACTAATATTACTAAATTTCTGCTACGAAGCGACGCCGGTGAACCGTCGTGCACAATGACCTCCCGAGAGCTCAAAAAATAAATGAGACAGTTTTTTGTTTTTTTTATTACCATCGATAACCAAAGAGGGACTGCGTTTGAAGGAAGCATACAATAATGTAACAGTCGGCACGAATTTACCCCACTTTCGCAATGTTGCGGCTAAATTCTCCGACAATTCCCCCGGCCGTTCTGACCTCGTTAAAAATTGTCAACAATTCTGGACGTTTGCAGTTTCTGCTTTTGGTTGAGACCCCGCCTACGATTCAGTAGCGCAAGTGGGTGGTGGAATGTCGCAGGAATGTGCAAGGAGCACCGCATTTGCGTAGCGTACGAGAAAGGCTCTGCGCAAACAGAGTCTATCTCCTCTCGTGGCGCCCACAGGATGGGTGGTCAACAAATGCCCCAGATGCATCACCAGGAATTGAGCGAAACACTGAGAAGCATTTCACCCAACTACGTAGGTGAAATACACCGGAAAGCATCCGGAGATATTTCCTCCAGCGACACTGCACGGCTCAATTCCACACACATCGTTCACCGAGAAGACCGATACACCCCCTTTGTCATACAATGGAGATGCAACCATCATTGAGCAAATGCAGATGCAAGCCCGCGTTGCAGCGGAGATGCAACTAGGGATGTCGCGAACCACCCTAGGTTTGATTTTGAAACGTTTCGATATTTTCGATGCGAACTGAGGTTAGAATTCGAAAAATTTCGATATTTTCGTACCGACTGAGATTCGAATTCGAAAAGTTCGAAGCTTTCACGGCTTCTGAAATTTCGGGTTCGAATATTTCGAATATATATTCTACTTGAGGTTCGATAAATTCGAAGATTTCGAACTTTCCTAATTTGAATTTTGAGATATTCGAAAAATTAGAATATCTTGAAATCTGAAGTTTAAAAAATTTGAAATTCTGTGGATATAAAATTTAGACATGAAGTTTGAACGATTCAAAGATTTCAAATTTCTTTCTACATAAAGTTTGAAAAGTTGGAGGGTTTCAATTCTCATTTAACTTTGAATTCGAAAAAAAAAAAAAAAAAAAAAAACATTTGAAGATTTTTATTTTCTTTCAAGTCCAAGTTTTCAAAGTTCGAAGTCCGGTTTTCATGTTCCTCCACAGTTTGTTTCAAACAACGTTTTCACGACTCACTGGTTTTCATTTCACAAAATTCAATTTAGAAAAGTTTGGGTGTGATATTCAGATTGCGCGAAGTTGGGTCAGGCAATTAAATGAGACGACGGGTGTCCCGGATGTGCTGGAATCATTGCCAGTGCAGAGCAACGTGTGACCATAGATCAGTAATTGTGACCGCCAGCCCGGGGGTGCCTTTAACATGCATCACACAGTAGTTATCACACAAACGCACTGTTTTAGGATACTCATCCAGTTCGAAACGGCCAGACCACCAACCAGGTGGTTGAGGCTCAGAAAAATCTTGAAGCGACCTGGCAAACTAGCAAACTACCTCCCCAGCCCTTGCAAGTTGGGAGAAATCCGATCGAACGCCGCTTGAAATCCGATCGAACGACGGCCAGCTGGCACCATCTAGGGGGTGACCCTGGTACTGCATTTCACTAGGGCAAAGGCGTTAGAGAGATCAAATGTACATACGCGAGAAATCGCCGTTTAGAATGTAGTGAAATGTTTCTCGAGCCAAGAGAGAAACGATGACGTACGAAAGAAACCTATCAAACCTGCTCGACCGTTCTACGGCGTCGCAAGCGGGTCGTAGACAAGGAAGCCCAGAGGACCCACCTGTAGGGCAGCCCTCGTTGCGGTCTCGAACACTTCCCTGACGCCGTCCTTGGTCTTGGCGGAGCACTCCAGGTAGCCGTAGGCATTGATCTTCTCCGCCATGGCGCGCCCTTCCTCGGGGGCCACGGGCTTCTGCTTCATCTTGGCCAGCTCCCGCATCGTGTGCGGGTCCAGGCGCAGGTCCTGGAACACCACCATGGGGAGATGGCCGCAAGGCCCGCTTTAACCACCTCTCCCCACTCCCCGTCACTAATCTGGAGGACACATAGTCTCCCCGACATAGGCACTCCCGACGACGGCCGTCGAAGCTAGGCGCTGGGCAGGTTTCCCCTAGTCGTGTCAAATCAACTCTGGTGAATCCGCCGGGATACTTTGATGGAAGCGACGCACTCTATGTTCCACAACAACCTCTTTCTTACCACTACCATCGTTTACAAACTGAGACACCCAGGTTGGACCTTTTAACGCGGCTAAATAGCGCACGCTTCACTGGGTTCGCCGTTCACGCAGATCCGACGGCGCTTGTCGTTTCGATCGGGAACGACCTTTGGCGCGTTAGGCCTACTGAGTGTCTCGGGGGAAGCGAACCCTCCGAGGAGTCCACGTCCCCGCACACACTCGGCCAGCCGATCGCAGGAACGTTAAATATGCACACGAACACGAGAACACGATCACAGTGCACGACACAAAGAGGGAAAGGCAGGTTTAGATCGCAGAAATGAGCATCTCGCACACTCCGACTGGCCCCGACGGCCCCGACATCTAGAATCCAGATTCCCGTACGGCGCTTGCGCTAGGGCTTCTGGGAAAGGTATCGTCTTCAGTGTGCGGAGCTATGCCGATGCGCGCTGGGCCCGCTGGGCTACACTGCACTACGTAGCGTTACACACGAGGTTGGAATAAAGGCTCCTGTTCGCAGCCAGCGTCGGCCAATGCGATTGGGCGTGTGCGTTCGTCGACGTTACGACGCGCGATGCCAATGAGTGGAGCGCGATGAAGCCGAACCGCGACGGTCCGCCGCAACTAGGTGGTGTAAGCTATCATCCATTATAAAGAATACGATGGATATCCATCGATCCATCCGACGGAGTCGGACGGACACATCACTCTGGGTCCAGCGAAAAGCGAGGAAAAATATAGTTCGCTAGTTTCGAAGCGAAATTTCAGCATTACACCTTTTGCACCATTAACAGTTTGCATCTTTGTCAAAATACAATGCACAACATGCTCAAAACGGGGTATAATGATAACAATCGTAATCTCCATTGGTCCAGAAAAAAAAATATGGAACACGAGGGAAAAGTGTTTGCACGATTTTTATTGCTGTAAGATCACTAGGCAATATTGTAATATGGAACTAGATATAGATGTCCGACACCTATTGCACAAAATAACACCAAAAAACTATTTTTTCCAAAAAGCACTTTAATGCACCTTTAAGGGCCGAGGTGTGAATTGGGAAAGTTGTAGAGCGCATTGAGAAACACTCAATTAAGGGGGGACATGGCCTCGGAATTCAAAATTTTCACAAAAAAACGTGTTTTTCAAAAATGATTTGTTTATGCTTATTAACTTCCAAAGAATGGTTTCAGAAACTTTCATTTAAAAACATGCAGGATTTATCTCAGAATAAATTATTTTCGACATGTCGGCAGCCCTCCAAGTCAGCAGGAAGCAAGTTTTTTGTGTTTTTTTATTTAGCACTGCTTCATACTCGTTTAACCTAGCCAGAACATCTCACTCTCATTGGAAGTGCCATTTACTCTAGATTTAGCTCGTAGAAGCTTTCGAAGTTTACAAGTATCAAAGGCCAGGAGGACCCAATACATCCAAAAAGAAAAAATTCTGAAAATTTGGTATGAGCAATTTTATTGGTTGACACCTGAAACAGGGTTTACGGTTGGTCCCTCCCGGTGACGTCATTAACGCCCCTTCACAGTATCTTCCACTTCAGATCCTATTCCTGCTTTGCTGCTCTTTCTCAGTGTGATTTGCCTCTTAGTTCCTGTCAGCTTATCTGTCAGAGAATGCCTGCTACAAAAGTTAGCATGCCTACAAACAACACAAACTGGTAGCTATTGCCAGGGGAACAACAGATGCTCAAAGACGAAGGTGCTAACAATGCTCCAGGTGAATTTTGCCTACCTCGGACTCATAAAAAATAAAGAAACCTAAAGTTGAAACTTCAAATGCATTTTTCTCAGTTTCACTTTTTGGCAGGAAATGTGGTATGAGGAAATGTATCATTGGACATTTTGAAAGTGTAAAGATTTCATTCAGTGTTGTCCTTGACTCAAATTTCCTGAGGAACAAGTTAAGGTACTCATAATCTGAAAATGCTAAATTCTTCATGACAAAAACTGAATATTTTAAAACTCACAAATTTGTTAAAATCGTTCGCTCTTTTTGGGTGTTATTGTTTTTCTCTAGAATAACATTTTCTACAGTTAATTTTTACCTTAACTTGCACTATGGGTATTCTACTTCACATTAAACTAAACATTTTGTGGATTTCAATCATTATTTTTCTTAAATACATTTCCTAATAAAGTAACTTTTTTCTGGAGCTTGCTAAGCATAGTATGCGGTAGAATTGGCCTATAAGGCTGAAACTTTAGATGTCGTCAATCCTAATGGGTTTCAATTCACCCTGAAAGTTTAAATCACTTTGAGACACTGGTTCAAAAGTTGACCCTCCCAGGCCATGTCCCCCCTTAAGGTGTTTGCTACATGATACGCCTTCGTGCTTTTATAATTAGCCCAAAAAAAAAAGCCCACAAAATATTAAAAGAAAAGATTAATTGACAATGCGCGTTTGCTGGCGCACTGTCCGAGACAGGGCTTGGTGTTGGTGTGGGAGATAGACGCGAGCACCAGCCTGCCCCAAGGTCATGTATCAGACAGTGCGCCAGTGGTAAGCTGACCTCCGTTCCGTCAGAGCACATTTGAGAGCGCTGCAAGTGCACTGTCACATTATCTTTCTTTTATATTTCGTGAGCTTTTCTCTTAGGCTAATTAAAACGAGTGTGCAAAGTCACATTTTTTTAAAAGAAGGTGTTTTCAGATGCATTGGCTTCCTAGCACGCCGCTCAATGTATTTTAGAACTCTGTGACTCTTATTTTTGTGCCTGGAAATAAATTTGCTAAACTGAAACAGACATTCGGACGTGACGTCAAGGAGCAGTGTGGGTTTTGGGCAGGATTTAGTGACGCCCAGTTCCCCCGGTTGGCCATAGTGCACTGTGGTCTGAGATCTGGGAGCACGGATGACGACGCCGTGTTCGCAGACGAGTTTGAGCTCCCGCGGGGCACCAAAGTCCGCCATTCTCGGGGGGGTGACTACGGCGTCGAGGGCAGGTCGACCTCCCCCGTCCAAACATTAGGCGGACAGAGGTCGATCTGGACTGAGCAATTTGTCTCTCTGGCAGGAGAAGGAGCTCTCACCTTCTTGTTTCCCACGAGGATGATGGGCACGTTGGGGCAGAAGTGGCGCACCTCGGGCGTCCACTTCTCCGGGATGTTCTCCAGGGAGTCCGGGGAGTCAATGCTGAAGCACATGAGGATCACGTCCGTGTCTGGGTACGACAGCGGCCGCAGCCGGTCGTAGTCTTCCTGTCCCGCCGTGTCCCACAGCGCAAGCTCCACCTGCAGTGCACGCCAAGCTCAGCCAGGACCCCTTAACCCGCTCCATCGTTTCGTGCACAAAACCTAATGTCCCCGTAAAATTGGCAACTCGCCCGAAAGCCGAAACAAAACATTCACCCAGTCTCCAGGTGCTGTTTCGTTGCTCTCACTGGGCCCATTCCAATTCCCTACGCCGATGCAGAAAAGTGTGGGGCACTGTGTATTTCCGGTACGTGTTTTGAGATTAGCTGCCTTCGCAAATCGAATGAGGCGTTGTGCACCGAGTGCGGCTAGTACGGGCAAATCAGATGCAGCAACTATTAGTTCCTGGTCATCTGATGAGTCTCTTTAATATTTCTTCGACGATAGGTAAACACCCTAAACATTCAGAAAGGTGGACGGCAACAAAGAACACCCGCAGGACGAGGGAATGCTTCCTCCAACTCTCGCGTAAATCGCCGATCCCAAACAAGGTTTCTGGGTTCTCAAAAAAGGTGGTACGACTCGTCCAAGACCATAGAGCACTCTTTCGAATAAATGTTTCCACGTTTCTTCAGAGTCTAAAGTCCCGGTTGAGGTCCGCCTTTCCACGCTACTGCAGACACCAAATGCCTTCAGTTATCCCTCGGTGAAAATTTACCACAAAGAACAAGATAACTCAAAGGGAGCAGTAGCGCTAATGCTGCCACTTAGCGGAAGCCTCTACCGGGAAGTGCGACAGGTGAAGAGTTCAGGGGAAACTCTTCCCACCTCGGCAGAGCAAATACTGGAGAGGAGGTCACCTCCCCTCCAGCATTCGCTGTGCTCAAGTGGAAAAGGGTGGGAGGAGCTTTCACCAAACTCTTAGCCCGTCACCGACTAGAGTTTGGTCGACTGACTGGAGACACGATCTGCCAAAACCTCCAAGGTGCGGCCAAACATCAAAGGATGTGATAGATCAGTGAAACAAGTTTCAACGAGCAAAGAAGCTGGTGATGGACGTAGGAAGCTGCTGGAGGCGACACGACGCCACCAAAGGTGAATCCGGGGGAGACCCCCAACGACGATCAAAACCAAAAGATGCTATTGGCTGGAGAGCCGATTTGGTGCCAACAGCTGTTTTGGTCATCCTGGGGGGCATTCCCACCAACGTCTATGTTTGGCTTCCCTCGGGACTGTCTCGCTTGGCTGACTTGAGCCGGTAAAGGGCTTCCTCCTAGCCTTCGTGCTAGTGACGAACAATTCTGCTTATTAATATTGCAACTATTTCTATTGAACTATATATAGCTTCTTTTTTAGTCTTTAGTGGCTGTTTACTTCGACTGATGATAGTCTGTAAACAGAGGACATGACTGCTCTTTGTTATTCAAGAACACTAAAAAAACTAGCTGCTGCCGCCATGCTGATTCTCGAAGAAATGTGTTAGCATTTCGCGCGGCGGTGATGCATAACAAAGCCTGGTGAATGCAGCCTCTCAGCACTTTTTCGTAGCGTAAACATTCCCGGAACCTCTCTTCTCCCTGGAGCAAGCAGTTCGGGTCACTTGGCGTGTGCAAAGGACGGCGGCCGCACAGGATAGGCTGGTTATAGAGAGGGAAGGCGTGTGGCAACACCAAGCTGCAGTGAGGGACAGCGGGGCTAGTGCTCAATTGGGCCACTGGCGTGTACGGGTGACCCAAGGGGGATTCATATTTTGCAACGAGCCATCTGCAGACTGTCACCGTGAAGCGGCATGAACGGGTTAACACACGCCCCAGCGATATACTTGCCGTCCCCCACTGCGCGGCTGCAAAATTGCCCAAGAAGGACGTCACCGTCAATCATCGGTTGCTAGGCGTCACGGCAAGGTGCCGCTCCCTACAAACAGGTGGTCCAGTGCAGCCTCCGTTGCCATGCGTCCTATCGCCAAGCCTCTCGAGACGTCCACCCAGTCGGCACATGCAGAAGGTGATTCCTAGCCAGTTTCCACAACCAGTGGGGCTGTGGCACCATCCCATGGAGATGTTGTAAACTTTATATACGTGCTCCAAACCAGTTCAAGGTCAGCACCTGTACTGGGCCACTAACGCATTAAAATAAGCTTGGAAGAGCAAACAAATGTGCAAGTCTATAGTCGGTGACAGGTCTGGTGGAAGCCCTGTCACCGACTATCCATCCACGCCCGAGACTGCGATGGGAGCTCTGTGCCCGCCGGACCAATTGGCAGCTTCCCTTTTATCCCCCGGCTCCCTCCAAGTTGGTATGGGCGAGAGCGGATTGCGCGGCCAAAGACAACAAGGACGTTCACAGCAGCTTAGGTGTGAACGGAGAGGAAGAGTTTCTACCACACTCTCGACCTGTCACCAAGTAAAGATTCAGAGTATGCACTTTGCAAAGATGTCCCAAAGATGTTTCCAGACCTTGTTAAGCACAAAGTTTGAAGACGGGTGTGCGAACATACAATCTGCAAAGAAAACATTCTGAAGACGAGTGTGATGCCCACGTAGAAAAAGAGAAGCTCTTAGCAGTGCACTTCTCAAAACCTTTGGGGACATATTTTTGTCAATGGGATGCAACGTAACAGCCACCAATGGGGTATCAACTAGGGATGTCGCGAATCGGTCGAGGTTCGAGTTTGATGAGGCTCAACTTTTTCTAACCTCTTGTGAAAAGTTCGACAAAGGTTTGACTAAGGTTCGACTGCTCAACGCATGCGCGACAGGCTAGCCAGTTGGCTTCGGATTGGATGGTGATGGCTAAGGGATGAATGAACGGCAGCACTGATTGGTTATTCCAGTTATTACAGTACAAAAATTTAAGTTAATAACTTCTTCAGTGATTAGAATTAGTTTCTTTTAATTGCAACTGTTGATAAAATTGAAATAACCCTTTGCATAAAAACATAATTCTCCAAACCTCGACATCCATGTATAAAGAAAGTTGAACCGGTCTTTTTGTCGTTTTAGACTTAGGCTAGGTGGCGCAAGCTACCGCCCTCTACAAAGGGTATAGCCATTAACATCCATCAGGTCGAACTTTTGGAGTTTGACTGGTTCGCCGGAACCAGTCAAACCCCGAAAGTTCGACCTAGAAGTCCGGTTCGACAAACGTTTGCGACATTTCTAGGATCAACCTAGTTTCCACTACTGGTAGCAACCCAGACATTCATTTTGACATCATGGTTGTGTCAGACACCAACAACTCTAGTAAATTGTACCGCACATCACCAAATATTAAACATTTTACTTCATAAACCGGTACGGGTGTTTGCACCTATGTTGACTGCTTCGTTCTACGCTGTGCCCTGCCGACAAAATGCCCTCTGCAGTATCTATTCGGCATCACTAAAACTTGTTCTAAGAAAGCAGTGATCCCTTTATGAACCACTGTACACTTCACACCATACACTACGTTCAGAAAACATTTGAATCGCAATGGAGAATTAACACGAACGCTTCCGAGAGTTTTCCTTCTTTAAGTGCGTCCGAACCTCAGTTGCAGAGCTGCTTTGTGTCAGGGTATCAGGTAACTCTGATAACCTAATAGAAAAACGTTCTGCAACTGTAATCTGTACACACTTGAAGAACAAAAGACTCTTTCCAAAAAGCAATTTTTTCGATTAAAACTATTTCTAGATTAAAGCTATTTTTAAGTCCACAACTACCAAAAAAAAAAAAAAGATTTGTGACACACTGACAGTTATGTTCTACGAATTATCCGGATATCTGCGTAACCAAAGTGCTCTCATCAGATGAGGAAGATAAGTGAACTTGGACTCACCTGTTTGCCATCCACCTCAATGTCCGCGACGTAGTTTTCGAAGACCGTCGGAACGTAAAGTTCTGGGAACTGGTCCTTGCTGAACACGATGAGCAAGCAGGTTTTACCACACGCTCCATCTCCGACGATCACTAGCTTTTTTCGAATCGCGGCCATTTCTAGAGGAAGAAAAGGAAATTGAGCACAGTGGTGAGCTCGGCTAGTTGCTGTTGCATCGTAAAAGGGTAAAAACGGCGCAAAAAGACACGGACAGGGAACATGTACACACGGAGCGCTGTTATAAGGGTAAAAACAGCACTCCGTGGGTGTACATCTTCCGAGTCCGTGTCTTCTTGCGCTGTTTTTCCCCTTTTAAAAAGAGATAATGAAGCACGTCGTAACAAGCGTGGACAGACCAACAATCCAGGTAACGCAACCTGCGACATTGACATTCGGAAGCGCAACAGTTGCAGTGGACTTTGCAAACGCAACAAGTGATCCGCACCTTTTCTTCTTTTTTCGGAAGCGGGAGGGTTTAGAACACTCATCTGGAACGCTATCGAATTTAAAAACAAAATTTTCCTACGTCCGGTAATTTCTGTGAAGACAGGACCCGTAAGCCATGTCACCACTCCCACTGTCGGCAAATAATCAGTTCACGTCACTCGTGACGGCACCTAAAGGTCAGCAAAGGCTTCCGGCGACAAAAAGACCTCCCGCAAGAGCCCCCAAAATTATGTCAAGTTCAAGCGCAATGCCAAAGACGGAAAGATGAAAAGAAAGAAGAAGAAAAAAGTAAACCCGTCAACTGATGCTCGGGTCATTCCGTATCGTGAGCGGAGCGAAAAAATAAACTAAAATAAAGATTCACACCACAGACTGTTTGTTTACCAGGCAAAAGGAACACGGGCCGGCCACAGTACACCTTCCAGTTGATGCGAAAGCTTACCCCACGCTTAAAACGCCGTTATTTTGCGGTGCAGATCCAAAAGATTGAACGGTCGCGGGCGGAGAAAAAAGCCGGTACTGACAGCGTTAAGCCTAAGCGCCCGATCGGCCATGCATTGCGGGCCGGATTCCAGACTGCTCCTCCAGCCTACGGCATCGCCGACACGCATCAGAACGTCGGCCGCGGTTAGGTCGATGTGTCGTCCTTCTGGCGCGACTCAAGAATGCCCCAGGGCCGCTTACCTTTCGTAAAAAAAGGGGTTCACGCTGGCGAACTCCACCACTGGACCACACCTCGCTCAAAGGTAGTGCGGTACCTCTGCGAGAGGAGGAAAGCAGAGTGAAAGGGGGGCGCACGCAATTCCCTAGGAATGCGGAGCGCTTTGACGTAGCGGGCCTTCTGATCAACAAGTTGAGAGAAAAGTCAGAAGCCGCTTAAATAGAAATTATCTTTCAGTTCTTGTATTTTTTCTTTGGGTCGTCAGCTGTTGCGTTTGCTGTTGCGCGGATTCAATAAAGCGAAACTGGCGCGATTTTTTTTTTTTTGTTTTTCAAAGTTTGTGCAGCTTGTGTCTAAACAAGCGCAAGAAGATATGCAGTAGTTGTTTTCAAACATCTTCTCCAGCCTAGAAAGGAAGTTGTAGCTAGTGCGTTAAATCGTAAAAACCTAATTGAGAAGGTCAACTGTGCAGCTTTAATAAATGGAATGCCAGATACCCGAAACAATTTAACCAAACGTCACGTTTCGCACTTCACTTCTTTTTATGTTTCGATTTTGTACAAAGCCAAGTTTGTAGGCTGAAATAAACCGGGATTCAAGCTTTCAATTCGTGCGAGGAATGCGATGTGAGGCTAGGGCTATTTTTATTGAAATGAAGGGGCGGGTGATTCACAGCAAGAGCGAACATCCGGATCTCGTGTATTTTTGCGGTTTTTGCGAACCTGTGGTATATTAAGGGTTTATACCGCCGCTAGGTGCCGCCTTCTATCTTCCTAAACATTAACTAGATAACATATCTCTAGCAGAGCCGTAAATGATCTCTAGCCGCTACACCTGGCGATACCTTCATTTCGAAACATGAACCTTCTAGTTTCGGTTTTTGTGCGCTCAAATCGGCGATGAAATTGTTGACGAAAAGGACGAAAATAATCCCTGGAGAAGGGGAACAAGAGGGACAAAAGGACAAACACAAATCTCCAGTCGAACACCAACAAGGGTGAAGCTTGCAATTTAAGGTTATAATTATAATGCAATTCAATGCAAAGGTGCCAGCGAGCTGCAGGACAAGAATGACGAAAATAATCCCTGGAGAAGGGGAACAAGAGGGACAAAGGACAAACACACATCTCCAAAAACAGCTAGGTGACTGGTGAGCGACCGAAAAAATCCGCCCGTTCTCCTTCTCTAGGTATTATTTTCGTCCTTCTTGTCCAGCTCGCTTGCACCTTTGCATTTAATTGCATTATAATTGCGAAATTGTTTTGGCGAAACCAGTTTCGTGTCTGGGCCCTCGTAGTTTGTGGGTGTACGGCACTCTAAGCGGAAAAGTAGCGACAACCCGCCATTTTTCGGTGAACATCTCCGTCTTCCAGCTTGTTCATTTCCCTATTTCACTCCTCCCTTGGACGCGTGCCGCCAATGCTCTACACTTCGTTTCAGCTTATTAAGTCCAGACGACGCTACGAGCAAATCGGACCAATCAAGCAGCTTCAAAAACGCAACGCCTTATCTGCTTATGATTGGTTCAGCGACGATAGAATACGTACACGACGACCACCATGATAGAGCGCTTTTGACGCTGCCCGGTTGTTCCCATCAGCTAGTAGCGTCGTCTACGAAGTAAACATAGCGGGAAAATATGTTTTCTTTTTCTAGTTGGTTAGGACATGCTTGCCCCAAAAAGAATGTTCGTCGGCAAAAAAAAAAAAAAAATGTTTTCCCAATATTTTTGTTACAATACGAATTTTTAGATTTGCGGGTGAAACCGCCCGCAAATAAAAGAAAAATCGTATCGTAGCATAAATGCTGAACAAACGAAAAAAAAACGAACAAACATTATTTTTGAGACATGCCTATCCTAAAGTCGCTGTAGTCTGTCCTAACCAGGTAGAAAATGATTTTTTTTTTTCCTCAGTTCAGTGTCCCAAAAAATTGACATTTCTGCCAAAAAAATGAAAAAAAAATATTTTTCTTTTTTGCCAGGCGATTTATTATGGTGTCAGAAGACTAACCAATCAGTATATGGAGTAGGGATGCCGCGAACTTTTTTCGACCCGAAGTTTCGATGATCAAATAGCGGTCGAAAGGTTCGAAAGATTTTGAATTTTTGAACTTTCTATATCAAAAAATTCGACGGAAGACGAATTTTCGACCTTGTTAAATTAAGAAGTTCGAAGCTTTTCGAAATTTCGAACTTTGCACGTTCAGAAATCCAGTGTTTTCCGAACCTTCGAATTTATTACGATAAAAAATGATGCTTGTCGGAACCTTCGACCTTGATAGACTAAAAATCAATGATATTCAAACTTCCGAATTTTTTGTACTAAAAAGGTCGAAGCTTTTCGAACGTTCGACCTTCCTAGGCTAAGAAATTCGATCGAATATTTTCGACCTTTCGAATCCTGAAAAGTCACAAGCTCGACGAACTTTGAACTTTTAGGGGAAAAGTTCGAAGTTCGTCGAACTGCGAAGGACCGGCGGGCGGTTTCATTTGGATTCAAGCAGTAAGGTACATTCGTAATTTTTTTTTTCTTTCGCAATTTTACATGGGGTGACGCATTCCTTGCGAAAGACAATGCCGTTTATTTCAATCATCTGGCATGCTTGGTTTTAAAGAAATAGATTCCCGAAGAAGCAAAGAAGGACGACGGGTTTTTGACAATTGTCGTTTGTGCCATATTTGAAGCGCGCTATAGCCGAAGCTATCTATGGTAGAGATGTTAAACTTTTTTCTTTTTTTTTTTTAGAATTATCGATGTATAGCCTAGGTAAGTGTCGTCTTGAGATATGCTTATTGTTATTCAGGATGAGTTTCGAAGAAATATCCAAACATGTATCTATGGGCAATTATCCCCTAAACTTGGTAATTTTTCTCGTCTGAATTGTTCGAGGTATCGCATTTAAAGTAATACCACAGACAGGACATATCATTGTCATCTGCAGAATACAAAATAATGTATTTATTTTTTTTTTTTTTTTTCACATTGAGGAATAAATTAACTCGCGGGGGAAGATTTCTAACATTGTTCAAGTTCAGCACGTCATTAAAAAAAGCAATTTTTAATTTATTTTTCTTGCGTCACGTTTCTGGGACGTGTTTCTTTTATCCTGTACACATTTAGGTAGGAGAAACGTATTTCGAAATTCTGAGCCTCTGAATATGCAAGAACAACCCTTCCGGCGGATTCTTGATAGTTTTTTTTTTTTTTTTCCAGCTTTTTATTTCCGAATTTATTGTTATGTTTAATTTATTTTACCAATGACACAGTTATATATGTCGAAAAGACAGCTTTGAACTTCCGAACCACTAAGCATTTGACGAGTTGTACCTTCTCACAACGAGTTTCCGGCAATGACTGTCTACACAATCTTTTATGCAGTGGAGAGCAACAGTAGCTACACATATGCATAAACCGACCACGCCTTCTTGGGAAAAAGGGGGGGGGGGGGGGAGCTGGAGCCCCCCCCCCCCCCCCCTTCCCTTCCCAAGATGTTTCGGACTTTTAAAGACAGTCCGATACTGTTAAAAGGACAAAAAGGGGGAGAAGGGGGGGGGGGGGGGGGGGCAAATTGCAAGCCAAACCTGCTCGCCGAAGGCCTTCAGAACGCTCGGAACCGGTCGGTTCCTCGAGCCCGTATACGACCGCAGCGCCGCCGTGTACACCCGGGACCTTTCTACGCGCGCCACTCGCCGGTCTTTCTGGTATGCGCCGCTTTTTCCACCGCTTGGTGGCGAGCACGTCGACGGGTCATTCAGCCTCCCTAGGTGATTTTAGGTCATTTCTTGTTTCCGTACTTTATAAACTGCTTTTTGTTTATCTAAAAGATTGAACAAGCACTACTTTCATAAATAACTGAATCGGTTCGCGCCACTTATATTTTGTATTTCAACTAAAAAGAAGCTTTTAGCGGCTCTGACCAGTAGTAAGCCCAGGACCAAAAACGTCACATATTGCGCGCTTTCGGCACCGTGGGTCGCCCCCGTAGGTGGAGGAGGTTTCCGCGTGACATTTATCAACGCGCACGAAATTTATTGACACGCACACCACGTATGCGTCGAAGTTGAAAACATAAAAACATAGTCGACACCAGCAAAACTCAATGCATCAAATGGAAATAAGACACAGTAAATTTTTTTCGGGTTATTGTTTCCTGTCAACGCAAGCTTTTATTAATGTGGCCCTACACAACATTTCAACATTATGTTCTTTCTCCATCGTTGCGAGTTGCAGGCTTTTTTGCCCCGTGCGGCTATCTGAACTAAAAACAATCCACAGCAACAGTTTCGCAATGAGACGACGAGTTGAATATACGTATAATTACAATATTTCATATTGAACTTTTGGCGAGCAATTTTTCTTATAACATTTTGCCACCAAGGGGAGAAGCACAACGTAGCATGTGCGTGGTTCTCCTACAAGAACGACGGTCGCTTCCCGCAATGATTTGGTCAAAATACGGTATATTTCGATTCACACGATTCCCTGCGACCTCCGCGCTTCCCCGTGCCCCGTTGTTCGGCAACACCATATGAGTTGCAGAGTTAATTTTACTACAGTATGAAATGCGGGATATTTTGAAGATTTGGGAATTTCTTGCGGGACGCGGGACACGAGCCCTCAATGCGGGACAGTCCCGCGAGTAGCGGGACGGGAGGTCACCCTACGCTCATGTGTGCATATGTCTGTGTGTAGGCCAATCAGTCAGTCAGGGTAAAGCCTTTTATGTTTTAAAAGTAGCGCGAGGTGCATCGATGCACGAGGCACGTGCGACGTGCAGCCCTCGGGAAGATCATGGCGGCACAGCGCAGTACTGATACAGTACTGAGCTAGATTTCAGACGCCATGTTCTTCCCAGAAGCACCAGCAGTGGCACGCGGCACGTGTCTCGATGATGTCTACAACAATGAATGGCGCCACTTTTCCCAGATGATCATGGCGGCACAGCGCAGTACTGAGCTAGATTTCAGACGCTATGGTCTTCCCAGAAGCACCAGCAGTGGCACGCGGTACGTGTCTCGATCATGTCCACAACAATGAATGGCGCCACTTTGCGCCATTTAGCCTAAGTCTAAAAAAGACAAACGTATGAGGCCAATTTCCCCTCCACTCCACTCCACCCCCCTCTAACTATCGCCAGACGGCGTGGTGGGACCGGCTGAGTTAGAGTAACTGTATATGCTCCGCTGCAAGGCTGAGTCAGAGGGCTGAGTATGCTGAATGCCAAAGATACTGTTATAAGTTGTTTTTTTTTTGTGCAGATGGCGCAGGACACCGCCCAATTTAGAAAATAGCGTTATGTCCTACGTTTTGTTCGGTTTTGCTAGACTTTGTTTACTAGATAAAATTCAGAGCCATGTTCTGACAAAATTACGTTTGTCTAATAGAAAAATACACTCTTGATATCACGGTTGAACCAAGTACATAAAATAAAGTCAAAACGTTTAACACCAGAAACAAATTTGAATTTGATTGGATCTTTGGCTGCTTGGGCTTCGACACAGATCCAATCCAAGCCAGATTTACCACGCGAGTCATCGTGCGACGACCTCGGCGGCATCCTACGATCCAACCGCGTGTCGTGACTCGTGAGCCGTAGTGGGCCGCCGATGTGTCGTCGGCTCTCGATGGCGGGGGACAACCGACAACTCTGAAGCCAGCAGCAGTTTAAAGAGCCATGTGGTCCCGGGCCAGCCGCCTGTGCAGGTGCGCGTACCGCTGCGGCGGAGCTCGGCTCTGCCAGCAGGGTGCCGGCCGCCCTCAAGTGCGGCCCAAGAGCGGCGGCCACGGAAAGGGAAGCCAGCTGTCGTCGCTGTTCATGCCGGTGCCCGTCAAGGCGTCCCAGAACCCGGACGACATCAACGTCGGCGAGGAGCTGACCAGCAAGCTGCGCAAGGAAGACCTGCTCAAGCTGCTCAACCAATTCAGCAAGAGGCCCGAGGTGTCGAGCTGGAGCGAAGAGAACGGCCTAGACGCGCGCCTTTTCCACCAGGCCTTCGTGAGCTTCCGGAGACACTGCATGGAGTCCGAGCAGCTGCCCGCCGACCTGCACGTGGTGTTCAGCGACATCCTGACGGGGGCCCGGCACCTGGACGACCTGCTGCCCTACTTCCTGCGCCACGCGCGCACCGTGTTCCCGCACCTGGAGTGCATGGAAGAGCTGCAGAAGATCAGCGACCTCCGGCTGCCGGCCAACTGGTACCCGGACGCGCGGAGCCGGCAGCGGAAGGTCGTCTTTCACGCGGGTCCCACCAACAGCGGCAAGACGCACCGAGCCCTCGAGAGCTTCGTGAACGCCCGCTCGGGCCTCTACTGCGGGCCGCTCAAGATGCTGGCCGTCGAAGTGTTCAACAAGACCAACGAGAAGGGCACCCCCTGCGACCTGCTGACGGGAGAGGAGAGGCGCTACGCGCGCCCGGACGGCCAGCCGGCCGATCACCTCGCGTGCACCGTCGAGATGGCCGCTGTCCACTGCCCGTACGACGTGGCCGTCGTGGACGAGATCCAGATGGTGAGGGATCCCCAGCGGGGCTGGGCTTGGACCCGGGCCCTGCTCGGTCTCAACGCCGAGGAGGTGCACCTGTGCGGCGAAGAGGCGGCCCTGCCACTCGTACAGGGGATCCTCAACTCCGTAGGCGAAGAGGTGGAGGTCCGTCGCTACAAGCGCCTGACGCCTCTGACCGTGGAGAACCGCGCCTTGGAAAGTCTAGACCAGGTGCGGCCGGGGGACTGCCTGGTGTGCTTCAGCAAGAACGACATCTTCCAGGTGAGCCTACAGATCGAGAAGCAGGGCCTGGAGTGCGCCGTCATCTACGGGGGCCTCCCACCGGGGACCAAGCTGGCCCAGGCGAGCAAGTTCAACGACCCCAGCCACCCCTGCAAGATCCTGGTGGCCACAGATGCCATCGGGATGGGCCTCAACCTCAGCATTGGCCGGGTCATCTTCTACTCGCTGGTCAAGCCGTCACTCAACGAGCGTGGCGAGCGGGAGATGGACACCATCTCCACGTCGCAGGCCCTCCAGATCGCGGGACGCGCTGGCCGCTTCGGCAGCCAGTTTGCGTCCGGACGTGCGACCACTTTCCGGCCAGACGATTTGCCGCTCCTTCGACAGATCCTGGCTGCGCCAGTGGAACGCATCGAGGCAGCGGGGCTGCACCCAACGGCTGAGCAGATCGAGCTGTTCGCCTACCACCTGCCACACGCATCCCTTGCCAACCTCGTGGACATCTTCGTGAGCCTGTGCAAAGTGGATGCCTCGGCCTACTTCATGTGCAACCTGGAGGCCTTCAAGTTCCTCGCGGACATGATCCAGCACGTGCCGCTGCCCTTGCGCGCACGCTACGTCTTCTGCTGCTCGCCCATCAACCAGAAGATGCCCTTTGTGTGCAGCATGTTCCTCAAGTTTGCGCGCCAGTACAGCCGGAACGAGCCGCTCACCTACGAGTGGCTCGGGCGCAGCGTGGACTGGCCCCCCGCCGTGCCCAGGACGCTGGTGGACCTCGCGCATCTAGAGGGTGTCTTCGACGTGCTCGACCTCTACCTGTGGCTGAGCTACCGCTTCACGGACCTGTTCCCCGACGCCGAGGCCGTGAGGGGCATGCAGCGGGAGCTGGACCTGGTCATCCAGCAGGGCGTGCTCAGCATGACCCAGCTTCTGCGTGCCGAGCCCCGCCGGGAAAGCCGCGAGCAGACAGCGGAGGAGCTGAGCAGGGGGCGGCTCACGGACCGCCTGCTGGCACAGGGGCTGCTCACCAAGGAGCAGCTGGTTGAGCTTCAGCGGGAGTGGCAGCGCTCCAGTCCACGCAGAGGCAAGAAGCCCAAAGAACCACAGTAGAATTGGCCTAGTACCTAGAGTGTGTGCCAGTGACTAACGACCATGTCTAGCATCTTCCAGGTTCTCCATCGAAGGTTTTGATATCATTACATGGCAACGAGGGTGCCCTTTTACGACTGTCGTCAGAGGCTTTGGCTGTTGAAACGTTCTCGGCGATACCGAAAACGCTGTGTGTTGAAGTTGTTTTGAAGGGGATGCAAAGAGACGATTAAATGGCTCAAACAACGCGATTCCTGCAGCTTCTGCCCTGAGGCTGAGCTTTACGGGGCGAGGACCTCTTTCTCTCTCGTGGAATTGATAGAGTAACTTCAAACTGCACGATGCAGTACATGATGATCAATCTTGCATCCAAAGAACAAGGTGGGTAAGTGACTTGGGAGGCATTGTTGATAGTGCCAGATGGCAACCTAGTTTGAAGTCTCGTAAAGTATGGACTCTGGCTGAATGTTGCTATAAAACGGTAGATGAGAGCCTTTGGTGCGTGTTCATCTTAGAGGACCGCTTGATCCCCACAAAATGTACCTTGTGGGTTCATAACAGTAAGGAAGTTCTGGTAAATTTTAATTGGGCTATAAAAATTCAGAATGCATGCGATAAAGAGTGCTATAATGGCATAGAATTCTGCTCGCATTCCCTGTATCACTAATCAGATGTTGCACCATAGATTGAGGGTCTGAAACACTCTGCTTGCAGGTTGCGTGCGATTTGGGATGGAAGCATCAAGCGAGCCCCGTTCCTATGCCTTGAGCGCTACCTACATCATAAATAATGATCTCGTGTCGTCGGTTTATTTACGCTTAAAGCGTAGCTCTGAACTTTTAACATGTTTATATTTTTTGTAGCGTGAGCTACACTGGCCGAGGTTGAGCAGTTTCGCGTGGCTCGCATAATGAGCCGTGCTCCGTGCTGCGCATGCGCGAGGAGCAGCGACGTCGCACGGCACACAGCTGGCGCGCCGGAGCCGCTGCGCCCGCCTTTGGCGTTAAAGTTGGAGCAGACGCACTGGCGCCGCCGCGTGCCCAGCTGTGCGCCTCCATTGGCGCAGTAGCCAAGTCCGACGCTGCACCGGAGCCACTTGATAGCGCCTCATTTTGTGCGCATAAGCTCGCGCTACGTATATCCCGGCATAGCCGAGCTAAGCTACCGCAATTTTTTTTTTATTCCGTTTCCTTTAGATTTTGTATTGGTTTGCATTAATTTTTGCTTTTGAGCTCTTGCTCGTGTTAATCGCCTGTACGCCAATCCCACTACTAGGCAACTACCACAAGCTCTTTAGGATGCACCTGGACTGCACAAACTCTCACTCAGGAGGAGCAACTTTCAAAGATAGAGCTATGAGCTTGGGCTTTTAGGAGTAGAAAAATAGAAATGAAACTCGAGAATTGCCTAATAATACAAATTAAGCAACACGGCAATGAGTCTGTGCTTGCTCTATACGAGCAAGGCAGTGGCCCAATTTTTTAGTTTTGTCATTGCATCGGCTTAAGTAGTCGCATTAGGAAACCAAAGCTAAGGCTGCTAGTTTACCAAAAGGAGAGAGTCCGAGGTCCCTTTTCTAGAAAATCTCAAGTGTGCCAGTGAGAGACTTGGCAGCACGTGTGACGTGGTCAAAGGGCTTGCACTCTAGGCATCTAGAGGCCGTGCAATCATTGTAACATTGAGAGAATTTGCATGTTCTACTTTCGACACTGTTTATCTTGTCACAAGGGACAGAAAACGCATCTCCTTCCTTCGAAATGTTGCAATTCTGCCGCGTAATCGCGAGGCAAAAACGAGATTATTTCCCCATCTGCAGACGCGAGCGGTGGCCATAAGAACCATGCAGCGCGACGTCAAAAGGGGGACTTGTAAAAAAAAAAAAAGAATAGCAAGTTGTGCAAGTACCTGCTCGATAAAAGGCAATTTTCTTAATAGATCTTGTCGTTCCAACATAGATATAAATGGGTCAAAAACCTGGTATCATAGACAAAACTTCTATTAGACAGAGTTTTAGTTTTGCTGACCTATGTGAGGTCAGCAAAACCGTCGGCTCCATCTGCTACCGCGAGGAGCCGGGCGGGGACGGCCGGACGAGCATGTGGGCACTTTCCTCCTTTCGCCGTGTCGATTGCGTGGCGCAAGCACCTTGTCTCGCTGCTCACTGATGGTGCTAGAGCTTTACCAGAACCTTGTGCGTCCCCCTTTCACGTTGCAGCGCACGTGACTGGGAAGATGGTGAAGGAGTTAAGGTGTGCCAAAATCCCTCAATCTTTTCAATAAAAACGGGATATGCAGGCAAAACACAAATTCCTACAATTCTTTGGGCAAAGCACCGAAATTGTTGCGCGGCTCCTACAACCCGTCGCCCAACTTTAGGCACCAGACGGGAAAGCCGACAGGACACCATCGCAGGCCACGGGAACCGCGTCCTTCTGGTTATTTAAGTGCAAAAAGATTGAGCACCCAACACCTGGCTCTTCCAACTATGGAAAGCGTTTGAGCCTACCATAAAACTTTACTCTGGCTAGTGCGTGTTCAAAAAAAAAAAAGCATGTTTATAATACCAACTACCTTTTAGCCGATAAAAACCTGTCGTAACAGGTATTGCTGCATTCTAAGTTAGTAGCAAGTGCATAGATTTGATAAGCCCACGGTGCTTACGAAATTAAATTTCGGAACACACGTGTGCATTGTCCAAACAAGCTGCAGTAGAACCTCGTTAATGTTTCTCAGAAAGGGCTGTGGGGAAAAAGTTATAATCTGGGGAAAAAAAAACAACTAGAAGGCCCCCCAAAAACTAGGAGCTCGGCGGTACCGGTGGTTTTGATTGTCAAAACCGGGGACGTATCAACTATTTTCGAATTTTGGCCAATTAGTAACTGCAGAAATCAATCCGAATCACCAACGGAACGAACAGCAGAAAACCATATTCTCTTGCGTGCGCTTGTTTTTATTTTAAAAAAATGAAAGCCGTTTACAAATCCCTGTAACGCCGAATTGGACCACAGCTCTTGAGGAGGAGTACGGAAGGGTACTGAGGGGGGTCACGTCACCGGCGGGTAGTCACGTGACCTCGGGGGGGGGGGGTAGGTCACATGACCCCCCCCCCCCCCCCCCCCCCCCTTCCGGTTACGCTGACGGCGACGCCGCTCAGGCTGGAAACGGGCCCCTAAGGGCTGCGCTCTAAAAGGAAACGGATCGAAGGTCAAGGTTCCTCTTAACTCTCACGTCGTCTTTCGAGTGATGTACTCTGGGGCACCACCTGGTGTGCTTGAGACCCGCTTCTTCCGTGATAGTCGGCTCTTCAAAGTTAGCGTGGTGGAAGGTTGGGGCGGGCGATGGCCACAAAAGACAGTTTGCCACGGGGTTGACAGCGAGTGTAGCAGCGGAGGGGGACAGATTCTGTTGCGTGTATCCCAGAGGAGGCTGCAGGCGGGCAAAGAATGTTTTTTCCTTCGCAGTTTTGCGGCGGAATAGTTTTTCGAGGCAAGGCCACACATTTTTTGTCACCTGTGCCTACATAAACAATATAAAAAATACACACTGCACATTCTTTCAACATTAAAATCTGCACACTACCCCTTAAAGGACAAGCATAGTTTCTGCTACGAGACAACATTCTGGTCACAATGCGACCCTTTCCAGAGGGAGCGGGTCTGGCGCGAAAGCACAGCGGAGATCGCCTTTCAGAAAGGGGGGAAAAAAAGATTTATTTCAGACTTTGTACAAGACCGTCACGCACTCAACAGAAAAATTCCTAGATGCAGTTTCTTTTCGATCCAAGCAGCCAACGCTGGCGAGAGGACATCCTAATAATTCCAAAGTTAAAAAAAAAGAAGAGGGGCAAGTCTGCGGAAAGTAACGGCACTTATTTACAAGAAGGTTCCGTGTAGGCGGCACGAGGCGAGCCGGCTCGAGGGCAAACGCAAGTGTACAAACACCAAAGTGGAAAGGGGCCCCTGGCTCGGCCGCAGGGAGGCTGCTCCGTCCTCTCCCCGGGGCCCTGCAGTGCACTTGGTGCGAGTCTCCGGCGGTCGCTGCTCTCCTAAGAAACACTCTCGTCCCGCTCTCAGGCGTTCTGGGCGTATAGCCTGGTCCATTCCCGCGCTGCAACAAAAGGCAGGAGAATGAGCGAGCGACCATCCTCTGCTCTCGGGTGGCCGCACACCACCCGACCGACCGACTTTGCGGGAGGTACCCATTGTTCCGACTAAGCGCGCACAGCAAATTCGCAGGACTGTGAAACACTGCAACGCTAGGCGAGAAAACGTTAAATACGAGTCCTCTCGCTTCGACAGAACCCGAGGTTGGCCACTGTTGTCATTCCTCAAACGATCATCCAGTTCATAAAAAAAGGCAATCTTAAACTGCCAGTGCTGTCTATACACGTTTGAAGAAAGGCTGCTGTGCGCCGCCATTCTGTGCGCCGCTGGCACTGCGTAACGTTTGCGCCATGTTGAGGTGCGCGAGGACAGGATGGCAGCGTCTGCTGCGTCGTTAACGGCCGGCGTTGGCGACAAACTTGCTATTTCGGAACGCTGTTTCGAATGCTACGATCCACACAGGATCGTAGCATCAAATATTCCGGGAGGTGGCATGTTTAAGGGTTCGAGCTGACTTTATAACGATCGCAGCTTCTGTTCCAGCATGTTGTGAAAGCCAGAGTTGCCGCAAGTGCAGCCACCATCACTAAAGGCTCTGTTATACTCCGAGGTAATGCGCGCGCAAGCGAACGCTGGCCAAAGTCGGCTACGTCGCGTCAGTCACGCCGCGCGGGTCAAAAATTCGCCCTCTCTATACTCCGGCGGCCCTGGCAACTTCCGCGGCGCGCGTCCGTGAGCCGCCAGCGCGGCACATGCGCAGAATCTGGCTACGAGGGCGCGTTTCCTGCGAGAGTGCGCCATTTCCGGTTCCTTTTCGTATCGAATAGCAGACGAGAATTCTCGTGCTTCTTGAGCGCCAAGTTCGGCTGATGGCGTGGACGTACCTTGCGCGACGAAAACTCGCGCTTGCACTGTTGGTGTACCGCCTGCCCCGCAAGCGTAGGCAGTCAATGTACTTGCGATACATCTTTGACAAGCGCACGGTCTACGGTACTCAAGCTTCCTCGTGTCGTAGACACACGGGTAAGGACGAATTCCCTCGATCAGTTTCTCGACGACCGAGACGTCCGATTCTTGAAACATGACGCCGCACGGAGTGGAGCTCCCGTCGTCTGCTATTGCTCGTATTCGCCGCGAGGGCTACTGGGAGCCAGCGCGAGATGCATCCTGGTCCGGCGTCGCTGGCGCGGCCGACGCGGAATACGGCATGCTCCATTTTGGCGTCGAGGCGGTCAGGCTGCGTCAAACGCTGCCGGTCGCGTCGGTTACGCCACGACGCCGGAGTATAGAGCGTCGGGTTTTGATCGACGTGACGTCGCTGTGACGTGCTCGCACGCGTTACGTTGGAGTATAACAGTGCCTTAAATGGCCGTGTGGCTTCTGGCATTCTGATAAGCGTATTTGAGACAGTGTTACAGAAGAATTACATAAAGGACGAGGACAAAACGCCACACCTGTCCTCTTCTACACGCTCTATTTCAACGGGCTTTGAGACTTTAGATATTTTTTCTCTAATGGTTCAATTTGTTACTAGTTTAGGCATTTTATTAAATTGTTTTCACTCTTTCGCAGTTGAAGACAACTCCTAAGTATTTTTAAATAATTTTTTAGTCTCTTTCTGCGCTCAGTGGCGTATACACTTGGCAACATTGTACGCCAAGCAGTGAATGTCCTGGCTGAAGAGTAGGTCAGCCTCAACTCGGTTCGAGGTTAAGTCGAGATCCCAGTTGTATTGGTAAGTCACACGAACAGCAGAATGTGATGTATCGACCGCTTCGTATCCTTATAGTATGTGGCTTGCGAAAGCATGGACAGGCATTCAAAGATTTGTCACTAGGTATGCTTGTCCTAACCGAAGTTTTAGTGCAGTAGACTAGGCAAGCCGAGCTTCGAACAAAACGAGGCGAGGGTACATTCTGCGCGAATTGGGCTGTCCGAAGGCCTATCCAATGGGGCGTGGCTATTTTCTTGCACGGAACGTGGACTCGTGTGTTCCAGTGCCACGCACTTGGATTGGCCGTGGAGCGAGGTGGTGGGACACGCCCCTACACTCACTTTTCGTTAATGAGACAACACAACTAGGAGATGACGAGCTATACTCCGTTTCGCAATATCTTGAACTGTGGAGGTTACGGCTCCCCCGACCCAATAAGAGCGTCGGAGCGAGTCACGTGACACCATGTCGCGGGATCGTGTGTGTCACAGTGCCAAATGCGAGGCCCGGAGGAGCCAGCTGCTGCGACCCACTTGGGGTGAACGTCCACCGCTGAAACACGTCCGTTCACTAGAGTAGCGAGCTTTTTGGGAACGCTTCACGAGACAACCATACGTTCAATTTGCCAGCGAATCTGTGGCAGATGCTAAAGCCAGGGCAACGTTTTGAGCAGAAGCGGTCAATTACACAACTGCGATCGCCAACAAGCACAATGCTAAGAAAGAGGGGAAAAAAAAAATCGGGAGCAAATATGGACATGGACATGGTGTTACCTTTTTGGGTTTAAATATAATTGAAACTCACAAATTCGTGAATATTTATTTCTAATTATTTTTATATATTCTCGATAGAGTTGAAATCGTACCAATTCAATTTCATTAAAAGAGAAAAGAAGCCTGGAACTACTTTCTGTCATGGACGGCGCTGTTGTTCTGGCGGTAATGAGGCCTCCCTGGCCTCGACCATGGAGTATTATCGCAGGACTTGCTCAGATGCTCTTATTGAGTCGCAGGGGCTGCAGTCTCCACAGCTCGTTAAGTTATAAAACGGAGTATAGCCTGTGCCCTTGTTCTCCAAGTCGGTGACATTTTGACACGCAACATATCTGGAAGACTGCAATGTTCTAACGGCAGATCACGCAAGACGTGTGTCACTGCTGCTACGAGTCTGGATTTATTTACGTTAATAGTGTCTTTAGACTTCCTGGGCGTAAAAGCAACATACACCTCGAAAAGCTGCTCGTTCGGGACTCATCCATACGAGAAACGTGGTATTGAAACCCTTTAGCTTTTGCCATCTCTTCATAGTTCATGCCACATTGAAGGTACACATCTATACTCGTCGCATCGAGGAGAAAACATGTTTTGCTCATTGCTCGTACGCCATGCAAGAAAGTTGTTACAAGATTTAATGGCCGGAGGAAAAAAACAATGCTTTTGGCATTTGAAACGTGTAGGTCTGGATAAAATAACACGTAGCCTATACACCAACTCAACTCTGTGACGTTACGGCACGGTGGTGGCACATCGGTCGCACTTCCGGTCTGGGGCTGTGTGCAGAAGTCCCCATGCCAGACGTGTATTCCTGCGTTGTTTTGAAGGGAACCAGACAAAAACCTGCCTTCTCATCAAAACGCCGTGACTGGGGCCATACCAAAAGTGGCGAGAAAGGTTTGAAGGTCAGTTTTCACGCGCTCGGTTCGTCCGAGAATCTGATATGTGCCGTGAAAAGGGAAAAGCAGATGCCGTCGGACAACGATTGCTTGGGTGGGAAGCACTTTGGGTTGAATTCACGGATATTTGTGGTCATCAGATTTATTTGTCTTGTTCCAGCATGAACGCCAGAAAACCATCTAGTTGCGCGGACCACCTGCGGAACGCGTTCAGTGCATCTTCAAATTCAAACGTTTCTGCTTGTCGTCTGCTCTCTTAGACGACGCCGGCCCGTAGACCAAATGCTGGCCCGGTACTTGCTATTAGCGCCGAGATGTTTCGGTGGCGCCCTCTTATGGTTTTCATCCGTGACGTCACGACTGGGATTTGCCTCGCCGTGACGTCACCAGTTGTTATCGTGGCTACTTACCATAAGGTGCGACGACTTGTTCGATGGTGTGTTTAAAAAGCACAGTGGAAGCTAGGAGCCATCACGATCTGAAACTAGCACAGTCAAAGTTGACAATCTGACAATGCTCATATGCCCATGGTTTGGCCAATCGTGGAAAGCTGACTGCAGCGAAGCTTTTGGTCGCGCACATCGCTAATAATAAGTGAGTGCAGGCCCCAAAGGACTTAAGTTTGAAGGTTCGTAAGCAGGCTCGATGTAAACAGTAGATACAAGGAGATGTTGATCATTGTTACTGGTGGCCATCACCGACTTGTTATGCCTAATTGACTTGGTCCGATTCTGCTTGCGATTTTCAGTATTGACGTCGGCCATCTCAGCTACGGTTCACGCTTTTGCAGCCCGAGCGGCGTCGCGACTGAAAATTGCGAGCTAAATCTCACTATGCGTATCAGGCTTTAGCGTACATACTGCGGCGTCCACGCGGAATGAAACGCCATATGTCACATTATTCACACAAAGTTTTGCGGTGTAACGAGCCTCCGTAATTTCGATGACGCCGCTCAGGTAGTCAGACATCGCCAGGAAGATGTAGAATCAACAATTCTAACGCGAAAAAGAGCGCGGGGACTCACACCGACGCCGACAACATCGCATTTCAATGGTTAGTTTATGGGCGACGGCGAGCTTCTTGCCCACACCCCCATCGCGCATGCGCGGCGCCGGTGGCGTCCGCTAGGGGCGCTCGGATTTGTTTGTAAACACGAGTTGGCCGGTTATAACGAAATAGCGGCTACAGCGACGAGATCACGATTTCCCATTCCCTTTTTCAATTTGTTAACCGAAGTCGGTTATACACCAACTCATGTTTACAAACAAACCAGAGCGCCCCTAGCGGACGCCACCGGCGCCCCGCATGCGCGATGGGGGTGTGGGCAAGAAGCTCGCCGTCGCCTATAAACAAACCAATGGAATGCGATGTTGTCGGCGTCGGTGTGAGTCCCCCTGCCCTTTTTCGCGTTTGAATTGTTGATTTACGTTTTCCTGGCAATGTCAGACTATCTTGAGAGGCGTCAGTGAAATTAACGAGGCTCGTTACACCGCAAAACTTTGCGTGAATAACGTGGCATGTGGCGATTCATTCCGCTTGGACGCCGCAGTACGTACGCTAAAGCCTGATTCACTTGATGAGATTTCGCTCGCAATTTTCAGTCATGACGCCGCTCGGGCTGCAAAAGCGTGAACCGTAGCTGAGATGGTCGACGTCAATACTAAAAATCGCAAGCAGAATCGGACCAAGTGAATTAGGCATAACAAGTCTGTGATGGTCACTGGTAACAATTATCAATACATCCTTGTATCTACTGTTTACATCGAGCCTGCTTACCAAGCTTCAAATATAAGTCTTTTGAGGCCTGCACTTACTTCTTATCGCAAGTACCGGGCCAACATTTGTTCTACGGGCCGGCGTCGTCTAAGAGAGCAGACGACAAGCAGAAATGTTTGAAAGAGCAGACGACAGTTTGAACGATCAGGCGGCCGTTTGAACTTGAAGAATCGCTGAACGTAGTCCGCAGGTGGTCCGTGCAACTTGATGGTTTTCCGGTGTTCATGTTGAAACAAAACAAATGAATCTGATGACCACAAGTATCCGTGAATTCAACTCAAAGTGCTTCCTACCCAAGCAATCGTTGTCCGACGGCATCTGCTTTTCCCTTTTCACGGCACATATCCAGATTCTCGGACGAACCGAGCAAGTGAAAACTAACCTTCAAACCTTTCTCGACACTTTTGGTATGGCCCCAGTCGCGGCGTTTTGACGAGAAGGCAGGTTTTTGTCAGGTTCCTTTCAAAACAACGCAAGAATACACGTCTGGCATGGGGACTTCTGCCCACAGCCCCAGACCGAAAGTGCGCCCGACGCGCCACCACCGCGCCGTGAAGTCACAGAGTTGAGTTTCTGTATAACAAAATAGCGGATATAGCAAAGTGATTTCCGATTCCCGCTGACTTGGTTATAACCGGTATCGACAGCAGCTTAATGCACTGCATAAAAGGAGAAATCAGTAACGCTCTGCAGGACCTTTTTTACTATGGTTCTTGAGGCGAATACGAGTGTGGTGCCTTCCCCGATTTTGCGACTTCTTCAGCAGACAGTGGCCGCCTCGCCAAAAACTAAATATATAGGCAATAGCCCTACATGGATCTATTACACCGTGTGGGCCATCACTGAATCTTGTATACCTTTGAGATGTACCATATTCCCCGAGATATAAGCTGCATTTTTTTCCCCCAAATTTCCGTCGGGGCATTGAACGGTGCGACTTTTGGCAGCCTTCCCGTCGGATCTGCCCGTCCGGAAAGGCCGTCGCGTTTGGAGGGTGAGCGACGTGGACCGTCCCTAGCGTCGCAGCTGGCGCAACTCGACCGACCCCTCGCACTGGCCAACTTGGCTCTCTCGAAAATCCACGATCACCTTCCCAATTTCGAGACGTCTACAGCAACGCCTGCGTCGTCGGAGCCTTCCAATTTTGACGCGTCCCGCACCGATTGCCGCAGCGGCGAGAGCGACTGTCGTCGAGAGATGTCGGAAGCCGGTCCTTTTGACTTTGATTCGCTTGTGACAAACTTGTCGCCGCCTGCGACTATCTGAATGTAGACTCGGCCGTGGTCCACAAACAAAACCGTACCATCCCTAAGGAACGAGGAAATATTCGGAGCTTCTTTCCTTGTCGGGAGCTTTCTCTTGGGCGGCCAATGCGCGCCATCGGAGAGGAAGCCACGCCGGCCCGAAGGTCAAAGGTGGCGAGAGTGATGCCAGGGTGCTTGGGCGGGTGTAGGTACCATCCCATTCTTTGTGGACACCACGGTGGCTATAGTCGACGGCAGGTTCAGAGAAGAGTGGAAGCTCTTCCCACCTCTTTCCACTTTAATGCCGGAGGGGCGCTCCGTCAGAGGGGAGCTTCCACTTTGCTCTCAACCCGACGCTGATTATGATCTAGGCGGCCGACGTCATTCTGGCAGTGTTGCCTGGACACCGGGTGCACTCTATGAACATTATTGAATTCATTATTGCAATTCATACAGCTCTAGAAATTCTGATACTCCGTGTATACACTAAGTAACCTACGAGCATTTCATTTGGAATAGTCTACCCCTTTATTTTTCGCATCCCCTTTCACGGTCCGAGTCGTAGGTTGCGTCGGCATTTACGACAAAACAGGAATGGCCGAGCACCCCCCGACGACCCGCCTTTCCTGCACTTCAAGGACTGTCCGAAGCTGCTCCAACTCCACACACTACTTCACGGCGTTCCCTAACTACGGAGTGCGACTTATATATCACTTTTTCGTGAAAATGGCCGGTTATAAAAGGGTGCTACTTATAAACCGGAAAGCATGGTACATTTAATCGGTCAAATCGGTTCTCGAGCAAAAGCTTTCGACGTCGACGGTATTTTGAGGAAAAGGACAATTAACGTGGCCCATTTGAACGACTCGTGGGAACCAACGTCCTTGCGCCCATTCCGAAGGACACTGCAGAGACGAGGCAACCGACCTGTTCTGATGGCCTCCGCTTCGTTAACCTTCCACTGCTCAGCCACGTCGTTTGCGAGGGGATCGTCCGGATTGGGCGCACTCAGCAGAGCCTGGATCGAGAGTAGCACCGTCCGGATCTGTAGCGCCGGACTCCACTTGTCTGCGAGGGAAATAAATATGTCACACTGGTTACTCGCACACGCTTTACTAGAGAGAGAACACAAAGCAACTGGGGGCTTTCCAAGACTCCCTCAAAGCTCGCCGGAGACCCAAATGTCCTCGCAGCAGGGACGGTGCTTTCAAGATTATTTCGTCGCGCGACGACGCTAAGGACTAATTATTTTTACGCTACGCTTCGTCCAAAATTATTTTGAAATAATTTTTGACCGAAGGATACGCGCTAAAGCCTATTCATTCGCGCCCCGTTTGTTTCCATTTTTGCCTACTTCAAACCGGCTGGTAAGGTCCAACGGCACTTCATAAAAGAAGGTGCATTAAAAAAAAGTAGTTCGCTAACAACGAACGCGGTAGACGAGCAACGTCCCGGCGGTTGGGCGCGCGAGTGCCAGAAAGAAACGCAGGACGATGCGAGCGTCATCGCAGCGTCCCGCCTGCTGAAGCTTCCGTGAACTGTTGAGCGAAAGATCGACCAACGGGCGTCTGCCACACCCGCTGCCGGGAAGCCACTGGGATAGACGATGGCACGCCACTTTTGCGACATCGTCAACCAGAAATCGAGGGGCCTTTTTCTGGGAAGCTACTCGGAGACACGCTCCGGGGGCGCCACTGTGCCAGATTTCCACATTCCCTTCCGGTTGGTGTGCCGGTCCGAGCTACGTCGCCGCAACGTCTCGGGCGGTCCTCGAGAATGCCATCCTGTCGTTCCGCGTCGTCGGAAAGAGACAGGCGTCGAGCCAAAACTCCCGAGAAAAAAAAGTAGAAATCCCGCGTCGAGTCGACGGTTCAAAAACAAGCAAGCCCCAAGTCGCCGAGAAGTATGAGATTCCAAAGAGCGCGTCGTCGTTGTACACCCACTATGTATATGCGCCAAAATCGTGAATAATGATTGCAATCCTTACTTTTAAACCGTAAAAGCGGAAGGCGATTACGGATCTCTCCGGCTAATAATATTTCAGTTCCAGTCCTACGAGTGCTGAATACGGCAATTCTTTTTCATAGAATCGTTGATCTTAACTTTATTTATTCTGTCACATTTAACATCGGCGTTGAATGCAAATGTTGTAACTTTTACCGTAATTTGAAATTATTTGAATTGACACGGACCGAGGAAGTGTAGATAAGGATGACACTTTTAACGCGTGTAGTTTGAGTTTGTGACTCTATGTTGCACAACGGAGAAGTTCAGTGTTCTGTCAAAAAACTGGCCGACGGGGCAGGAATGTTTCTTCTACGCACGTGGGATAGCCAAACTTTCTAGACACAGTACCCAATGTACTTAAGCAGAGCAAATGCTAGGCCTACTTGCGATATGGGCATTTTTAGATGCATGGCGGCGTACGTCCAAGTATTTGACGATGTGCCGCCCTCGGGACTCCCTTTGGCATCCGACGAGCACCGGTGCGTCCCCGAAGATGTTGCAGGTTGCTTCTACGACGTGCCCACGAAACTCAAAAGTCAGCGACACCTTCGCCGCACATTGTCAACTTTACATAACCTTGCCTTCCTTTTACAAGTACTGTCGGGTTCGATTGATTTGCGCGTATAATCGGACGCTCGAGCAAAGCTCTCTTCGCTCGCATGGAAACTTCCTGCGAGGACAAAGTGGGTGCCTCCGGTCTCGTGCGCCAGGGTCGTCTGGACAAGAACTTCTGGCCCAGGACGTCGGAAAGCCGTCCCGAACTTCTTCGGTCGAAAGTTGCGGAAATGGAGTTTCGGAACCAGCGGCTCTCTGCACGAGCAAAGGACGTGGCAGGCATCAACGAGAGAGAAAGGTCACCTTTGAGAATGTCCAGGCATATACGTCCGAGCTTGTCGATGTTGGGGTGGTAGATCTTGGTCATGAAGCGCACTTTGGGGGCCGACATGGGGTACTCCTCCGGCAGGAACAGCTCCAGCTTGAAGACGCCGCCCTCGAAAGGAGACTGCAGAGGGCCACCGTCAGCCTCTTGCGCTTCCGAGGCCGGCTCTCAAGAGATGCCGTCCCGGCCAAGACGCCAAGCGAGGCTCCGCTCAAAGCGCCACTCGCCTCGTCCGCTAGCTTTGCCAGCGCTCGCTTGCAGGCAGTCTTAGCCGAGAGTCTGCTTCTAGAAAGCCGGCCCGGGTGCTTCTGAGCAAAAGGTCCCGCTGGAGACAAAAGCGCATGTACAAAAAAGCCATATTGCTATAGTCTGTTGCTGCTCAAGAAGGTAGGGCAAGGGAAAAGAAGGCCGGGGAGGGGGAAGCAGGCGGTAAGCTGGAGAGGAGGCTTCAAGAAACGGACACACACAGTCTCAAACACTGACTGTTTGTCCGTCCCTTGAAACCTCCTCTCACTCTACGGCTTTCTGTTTCCTTCCTCCTTTCCGGCCCCTCTCTCTCTCTAGCCCTACCTTCTTCAGTTGCAACTAAGGTGACCATATTCCTCAAGGTCGAAAACGGGACATTCCAGCGGAAAAGGGTGGGGGGGGGGGAGGGGAGGGCGTACTTAAGTTTGAGATTGGGAGAAAAAATTTAATGAAATTCTACATGCGTGTCATGTGTACATGATTCTACATCCGTGCTATATGCAGTAACTAAAAAAAAATATTTCTACACACGCGTCTTCGCGAGAGAAAAAGTGTTTGTGGGCAAGAATAGTTCTAAATTTTACCCTCTGGGTAAACATTTTAAAGTACCTACGCTTATTTTTGTAAAATATACTTGTAACAAATAGGCACAGTTTCAGTTTGCTTCAACGTGCTTGGTGCCAATTTTGGAAGTATGTACTCCTGGGAAAACGGGACATGAAAGACGGGACTGTCCTGGCCAGAACGGGACTTCTGGTTACCCTAGTTGCAACGGACTATAGTGCACGTTCTGTTATGTCCATTCTTCTATCACAAAGAGAAGAAACGTCAGTTTATCGGTTCTTGGTCGATCCAAACACCCTGAAGCACCCACAATACTCCGTTGCGGCTTAAGAAAAGCGGGACATGTCCCTCCTGCAGAGCCCTCCCCACTTTCCACTTGGCGAAAGCTGGAGATGAGGCAAGTGAACTCCTTTCTCACATTCTCTCTGCCGTTCGGTGTGTTAAATAAACCGAGCTGTTGGGGCCACACACCCATCAGGAAAGGAAGGAGGCCCTAGTCTAAAGCCGAAACCTCCAAAATTAATGTGAAGGTTAAAAATCACGAGCAAATGACAATATTAACATGGCGGATCCTATCATTTCATTACTGGTTCAATTGCTTCGTGAGCCTACCACTAGTCCACACTGAGATAAAAACTAGGAATATGGTTTTGCAGTCCAACGAATGGGTCATCCAAAAGAGTTGCTCAAAATGTAAGACTCGTTTCCTAGCTAAGGCGCAGGGCAGACGTTTGCCAGACCCTCCAGGTTTCATACAGACCGTAAAGTCCCCTTTGTGTCGAGCGCACGTGCAGAACTAACGATCTTACTGTCAATCACAGTATCCAGTTAACACCTCATTTGTTCCTTCTAACTCGGCATTCGCGGTCCATCACTGCGGTAGGTAACCGGTACTTCTGTAATCTCCACCGCTTCCGGAAGACCGAAAGGGGCAGGAAACGCCACGCTTCAACGTGCCTCTGCACAGCAAAAAAACTTTGCTTCCTCCGCAGTGTGGGCAGGACAACCCTGTCTTTATTTGAAGCTAGCATATGTCCGTCCCTTCTTTATCAGTCTTGGACGGTTCATTCTAAAATGAACAAAGCAAACTCGCGTTTGCTTCTGAACGAGTTCTTGTGATCTCACGACAAGAGAACATGCTGGCACGCTGGTGCCATCTACAAGGTGACCCTGGAACAGCACTTCACTAGAGCAAAGGTTCTGCGGTATTTGCCAGATCCAATGTAAGCACTATCTACGACAAATGGTCGTCCCTGTCAAAAGATTTTGAGCCGAGAAAGAAAGAATGATGAGTAAAAAAATAGAAACTGAAAGTGTTCCCACCAGTAGGGACCACCAGTGCGTTCAACAAGAGATTTTAGGAGGTTTTAAGGCAGCCGGTCATAAACGGTAGCGTGTGTCAACCAGCTTCAACGTGCGTTAGTGCCAATACTCCAGTCTTCTAACGTCTCTCCCATCAATAGCAAAGACGAGCGGCGGACCAAGAAAACAATAAATAATGATGCGGCACGACACATGAGAAACAGGATGACACAGGGATATTGCGCACTAAGCTATATTAGGTGAAGTTGGGACTAGGGGGGCATTCCTAGCGAGTGGTGGCTCTCTCCACCGAGGGGGCGTGTTGCATCTCGTACCGTAGGCTGCGAAGTGCCCCCGTGGTCGGAGGTGCTTCAAGCGCCTCAAGCCGGTGTCTGCGGTTTTTTTCGGTGACGGCCGGACCGAATGCGGTCATCGTGTGTGTCCGAAGACGGGTGGCGTGGTCTAAGTCAAAAGTGGGGGTTCTACGTGCCAAACCAACAATGGGCATCTGGCATGCCCCAGCGGAGGGCTGAGGATTCATTTCGACCACCTGGGGATCTTTTGACGTGCAACCAAAGGTCAGTTACACTGCGCCTTCTCCGCAATAAGCCTCCATCATATTGCGTGCACCTTGGTCGGGATTCAAACCCACCACCTGAGGGTCTGTAGGCCGGCGCTTTGCCTCGGAGCCACCGAGGCGGCTACAAGTAGCGTGGTGTCGACGGTTCTAGCCGAAGCGTCCGCACAATGCAATGCGGCCGAGCACTCGTTTGCGGGTGTTCCGAAGGACGGCTGCTGCGTAAGAATGCGCAACACGAAGCCTTCCACTCGCAGCACACGGACGACGGAAGGACCGTGCCATCTCCATTAGGCAGGATGGCCTTCCTCTTTTGTAAGGACAGCTAAAAAAAATCAAGAAGAGCGCGAGCAAAAAGGTGCCGGGCAGTTAAAGTTCTTCCCTATTTTGACAAACCTCGATGAATGTGAGCTCGCAGATTTACAATGGAGCGGTTCGTAACAGTAAAGCGCGAAACACATGTACGACGAAACCGTTTGATCCGATGTCCGATCAGGCAATACGACGGTTGGAGGCGAGGGTTTTCAATGCACTCCGGTGCTACGAAAACCCTCTCCCCCCCAAGGTCATTCCGGCAGTCCGCACGTCGGATCGGACGGTTTCGTCGTACACGTGTTTCGCGCTTAAAGCACACAGCCACGGCTGTCCGCACTTCACCCCAAAGTTGACGGCGCGGTGCAAGCAACGCACTTGCCGGACCAATCAAGCGTCTCCCTTCCGTCACCCGGTCTCTGTGCGTGGGAGCGTGATTAGGTGGCGAAGGTTACATGCACGACTGGTCCAATGAGCAGGTCTGCGCAGTGTCAGCATGGGGGCGAGTGTAGAGACTGCCCGTCACTTGACTCGTGTGGCTCCCAATCAAGCTGGGAGTTTACTGGGCATTTGCACGGACAGGACGCCTGCCGGCAGAGACAGAGGCTCTCGCAGCAGGCGCGCCTTGGCCAGGCCCGCCAGTGGCGAAAGGCGAGCGCTGCCCGAAATCGACCAAGGACTCGGCCTGAAGGTCAACCGCGCTTGGGCACACTCACCCCTTCGGGGCCGGCCACGACGACGTGGAAGTACCTAGCGTTGCTCTCGTCGGGGATAGCGCTGATTCCTGGCACGGGCTCGGCCATCAGTCGCTGTGTTTCCTGCGCCAGAGAGATCGGGCAAAGTTGGACAAAAGCCCCGTTCACACACACGGTAGCGACGCCGCCTGTGAATGCCTGGTGGCTGCTGCGGTGCCCGACGACGCGAAATGGCAAGCAGATTCGCACCATATGAACGTACGGGGCAAGGAGGCCGCGGTCGTGGCGAAAACCGCTAGCAGCCGGGTTCCCAAGCGGGGGTGTGTCGCGGCGAGCGGAGCACGAGGAAACGCCGGGTGCAGCCTGTGCGAAGTGCGGTTGCTGGGACGAGAAGGATAATTGCTCGACGCCCATGGTAGGCGCACGGCTACCCTGCTGCACGGGGAAGTCGGCCAAGACACCGTTTGCCCGCAGCGTACGATGAACGGGACGCGGCACCCGCTGCATCGAGACCGCGTCGTGCCGCTTGCCAGGGAAACGCGAGTCTTTGCGGGGATTTTGAGGGGGATGCGGCCAAAAGCCGGCTTATCGGGAGTCAGGCCTAATGACAACGTCATGTAGCTCTTCCCTCGGCTCCGTCGCTTCCCGCAATCGGGGCCCGGGCGGGGTTTTCGGAGGGATCGGACGACTCTGTCGCCGGGGCAGATCGTGGGGCCACGTACCTTTATGATTCTCCTCGGTAAAGCGGCCATGATTTAGTAGTATTAGGCTTTTTTTCCTAACGGGGGAACAAAGAAAAATACGCCGCCCTCCCTGCACGACTCTCTCACACGGGGAACATCACAACTTGGCCGGTCGAACGACTGGCCACTGTTTCGTACTCAAAAAATTTGAGCGCATGGTTTGTTTTTGTTTCTTTTTTATTTGCTGGTAACGTTTTTGATACCTTTTGACGTTATCAAAACGTATTTATCCGAGTTTTCATAAATAAACTCGGTATTACTTTTTGTTTTTAGTTTCTTCTTACTTCAAAGAGGAAACAAGGTAACGAATGTGCAGTTGGTCGTTGCACACTTCGCTGAGGAAATCCAGTGCCGTCTTCTACTGGAGTGTTTACCGTCCTATCCCGCCCATACAACAAAAGTGGTCCCAATGTGGCAACAAATGACATCACAGAAGCTGGAGTGTCATGTTGTTGCCTTTTGCGATCCTGGCGGTTGGCCGTAGAAATGCTTGCGAAAAGCTCGAGCGAACGCGAGTGTCGCTGGCGTCACGGCGTCCCTTTAGGCGTCCCAACTTCGGGCTGCACTAGCTTCCGTGAACTGTCACAGTGGAAAGCGACCTGCAGCAGAACAGGCATCTGCTACATACACCGTAACTGTTGAGACGCCACCAGGGTCGCGACCGGCGACAGCATGACACTTCTACGACGTCATCAGGCAGAAATCGAGAGACCACTTTTTTGACCGCGGTAAACACACCAGTCGGAGACGCATTCCAGGCACCGCAGGCACCATACTGAAGGGTAAACGGTAAACCTTCCCAGTGCTCTGAAGAGTGCATTTGTTTCACAAACGTATAAAATCTTTAACCGAAACGACCGAATCGACGTGTGAAATGTCCGTATGTTCCACCGTGCAAGCCACCTAACGAGTTGTCAAGCTTCCGTGGCGCGTGCTACGAAAAGGCGCCAGGAGTGTAGCGTTTGCTACACTATGATCTATGATCAGCCCTGAAGGAGCTCGCTGTCCCAGACCGCGAGCTCACGATGAGCTTCTACAACGCTTCTGCAACGTGTAGTTAGTTCTGAGCAGTGGTTCTGAGCATGCACTGTGAACTCTGCGCTCAAGTATGGCGCCCACTAAATACCACCTCTGGACAGAAGCTGCGGAATCGGTGGAACGTTTGATGCAAATTACCTGTGGTAAAAAAAAAAAAAATTCTATCAAAGTTCTTTTTTTTTTTTTTTTTTTCGAACGCCGTTTTTTGTGGCTTATGTCGGCTGATAGGTCACACTATCGCTTTTCACTGTCATGAAGCCAACGATCTTTGGCATCTCCCAACGGTCGGGAGGCACTCACTTGATTGAATTACGTTGTAGCGAACGCCCACGTTTCACCGAATCACACCTTAGCGTCGAACGCCGCGAAGCGGCGTTTTCTGGTGGGCCAAATGGGTTCACATTTTTTGTAATGAGCCACCGCAGTTTGTCGCCGCGAAGCGGCGTAAGTGCAGCGCGGCGGTTGGGTTAAAGGGATACTGAACCGAAATCTGGATTCCCCAAAACACGCGGCAAAAGCGTGCAACGGGATGCTACAAACACCAAAACATCACTCATACAGCGATATCTCGAACGGATGACCGTATTTAAAAAAAAAAAAAAAAAAGAAAAGCGCATTTGGCAGGAATGTTGACGTCATGTTTCTCCGAGAAGGAGAGGGAACGGCCTCGCGTCTTCTCCGCCTCACAGCCTTGAGGGAGCAAAGCGAAGAGAGGAGGACACTAGGTATCTTGACGTCACGCGCCTCGTCGGCCTGGTTCAATCTCGACTTCTTTTTCCAAAAATACGGCCGTCCATTTGAAATATCGCCTTACAGTGTTGTAGGGATTGTAGCATACCGCCTACATCTCCAGCATTGTTTTTTTTTTTTTTTTTTTTTTAAATCCTAACTTTGGTTTATTATCCCTTTAACGCGCGCCCCCGTTATTCGCTAAAACGTCGATTCGCTCAAATGTCGCTGTTCGCTAAAACGTATAAAATCCTTAACCGAAACGACCGAGTCGACGTTTGAAATGTCCGTATGTTCCACCGTACAAGCCAAAACGTCATTCGCTCATGTGATATGGACCGCCCAACAGTCACTGAGCTCAACTAAATTTTGCGGTGTTACACGGCACAGGGACACAGCGACGCGTGGCGCGTAGTCACGTAAATTCACGGCGTTGGATTAGCTAGGACGGTTCGTCTATAGGGTGTTTTCACTGACGTAATTTCGTCCACCATTTTGTTGTTGCGATCTGTCTGGCGTGTGCCAAACTCGAGCATTTCAAGGATTTACATGCCTTCTCAAATGTGTAGAGCACCGCTGACATCATTTCAACCGGTTATGATGTAATCCTTCAATGTAGTAAATTTGTTTGAAAAAACAAACTAACAACAAAATGGCGGATTTACGTCATGTGCAAACAACCTATAGACTGCGCTAGGGCCTATCCAAACGTTAAAACGGAGTAGAGTATCCTCATTTGCGTTGAAAAGTGTTAAAGTGTTCGAGGTCTGTTTTCGAGGCGTTTTCCCTTTTTTGAACATGGCGGCCACGATGGCGCGTTGGTACTTCGAAGAAACCGTACAATGTTTTTCTTTTGTTTCTTCTCTCGCAATAATTTACTATTCAGAAGTGCCCCGTGCATTTATTAGTTGAAAGTATTAAGATACGAGCTCACCTGAGTCAAAGGGAAATAAATACTTTTTTTCTCCTCGAGCTATTGTGGCGTTGCGATAGAACAAAAGAATCAAGATGGCGACCCAGAATATCATTTGATTGTTTCATATCTCATTAATGATAGTTGTTTCAACAACAGCTATCAAGAGAGAGCTTTTATTTTTTGTTGCTCAGGTGAATTAAATGTTTTTCATATATGAAATAAAATAAGAAAGTACCATCTAGCTAAAGCTCTGTATTAAATTGTATCGGTGCTCGGTGGCACCCGAAAGAAATGCGACTGACTCCGTGTCACGGCAAACCAAAAAGAAGCTTTATTCCCTCGTGGCCCTGCACAAGTCACGGGCCCCATGGCACGCGCGTGCGTGCCTCGCTTATAGAAAGCGGGAAGTTCAAAAGAGGCTCACGCCACATCTCCCTCTGGGGATAAATAAGATGTTTCGAGTAGTCTGTAGTTATTCACCAAACCGCTGGGGGGCAAACACTTTTCTTCCAGCCTTCGTCACTGCCACGGGAACTCTGCAGTCTTGCGTCGATGACTGAGACTGCGAAGCCTGCTGCAACGTTGGTGGATGCTCTATAACGTCTTCCCCGGGTAAAGCAGGTCCATCAGGAGCGGTCGTGTTGGCTGGCCACAATACCAGCTCGTCGCGTTGACCAGAATAGAGCCGGAATTCTGTTGAGGGCTCTTCGGTTGCGACGGACGTCCCGTCTTGTGGTTCTGACCCAGTAAGACCTTGGCGTGTCCGCTTGACGGAGGACCTCCCCTGGGCACTTGAGGTCCTTCAACCACACAGTCGATCCGGGACTCAGTTTGGGTAGCCGTCGAGCTGCATGTCGGCGGTCGAAGTGGGCCCGTTGGCGCTCTTTGACTTGACGGTTGCGTCTAGTCGCGACGTTGTCACTGACTTGGCCGGGAGTCAGGAGAGCTGGCAACACCGGGATCCGCGTCCGCAGACGTCGCCCCATGAGGAGTTCGGCTGGAGTCCGCCCTGTTGGACCCGGGGTATCCCGGTACGCAAGTAGAGCTAAGTTCGGGTCCTCTGCTTTCTCAAGCAGATTCTTCATGGTCAGTACGGTGCGCTCGGCCTCTCCATTCGCCTGAGGATGACGAGGGCTGCTGGTAGTGTGCTGGAAACTGTAGTTCCGGGCAAACTCTGCGAAAGCATCACAGGAGAACTGTGGTCCATTGTCGCTTACTACCGTTGCAGGTATTCCATGGAGGGCGAATATGCTCTTTAGACGTTCGATGACAGCCTCAGCTTTCGTTGACGATAGATAGGCGATCTCGGAAAAGCGAGACCTGTAGTCAACGCAGAGCAAATACTCCTTGCCTCGTAGATAAAACAAGTCCAGCCCAACCATTTGCCGTGGCAGAGATGGCGTCACCGTTGGCATGAGAGGCTCGGCGTTTTGTTGACGTACCTTCGTGCATACAACCAGGGCCGTACCCAGAAAAAAAATTTCGGGGGGGGGGGGGGGGGGGGGGGGGGGGTTTCGGGGACAACGGCGGCCATTTTGAAAGTGTCTATTGTCTTATTTTCGCCTATGAATCATGTGCATCGGTGTTATATAATGGAGAGTTGCAGCAAACCGGAGAACCGGTCCCGGTTTGGTATCCGGTAGCCGACCGGCACCACTGCGCGTGCGCAGTGGTGGAGATTAAAATCGGCTGGCTGCAAGTGCACCGACCAGGGCCGTACCCAGAAAAAAATTTCGGGGGGGGGGGGGGGGTCAGAACCCCCTATCCCCCCCCCCCCCCCCCCCCCCCCCCCCTGGTTACGGCCCTGCATACAACACAGTTATTGACAACCCTTCTCAGCTCGGACGACACGCCTGGCCACCAGACAGCTACTTTCGCGCGCTGCCTGCACCGTCCAATTCCGTCCAAAGCCTTCGCAGTGGGACAGGCTTCCTCTGTACTGCCAAAAGGGCGACACGTCGAGAGGAAGTCTTGACTTTGATGGCCATCCGTTTATGCAGTACTCCCGAAGCATCTGGCAAACTTTGTCTTTCTCTTGGGCTTCTTTGACTGGATGCAGAGAGCTGCTTCGGAGTCCCATCACTGCTCCAACAGTAAATGACTGAACCTCAGCGCAGGTCAGTGTCTCCGCTGGCTCTTCCTCACCCACCGGAGCCCTTGATAGAGTATCAGCCGACGCGATGCTCTTGCCAGGAACATACTGCATTATGTAGCTGAACCGCATCAGACGCATACGGAAGCGCTGGATACGAGGAGGGAGCACACCCAGTGCCGACTTTCCCAAGAGCGTCAGCAAAGGTTGATGATCGGTCTGGAATGTTGCTGTTAGGCCCCGCAAAAAGTCTTGAAACCGCTCTGCTCCCCAGGTCAAAGCCAATGCCTCTTTTTCCACCTGAGAGTATCGGGTTTCTGTCGGGGTAAGGGACCGTGATCCGAAGGCGACAGCTCTTTCCCTCCCATCCGGCTGGACCTGAAGCATGCTCCTAATCCGTGTGAAGACGCATCCGCCGAGAGTATTGTGGAATACGACGGATTGTAGTGAGCCATGCAACAATCTGAACGAGATCCTTGACGCCTTGCAGAGCGGCTACTTGTGGGGAACCCCAGGTCCACTCCGACGTCTTTCGAAGCAGGTCTCTGAGCGGCGCCGTAATTTGTGCCAAGTTCGGAAGAAATCTTGCCAGATGGTTCGCCATTCCAAGGATCCGACGGACGCCGGCAGGATCCTCTGGAGCCGGAAGATCTCTGATTGCCTTGACCTTTGCTGGGTCCGGTCGAACACCGTGGTGGGGTATGATACATCCAAGGAAGGTAACTTCCCTTGTGCTGAAGACACACTTGGCTTTGTGTGGGGTGACTCCAGTTTGCTCTAGGCGCTTGAGAGTCTTGTGCAGATTTGCATCATTCTCAGCTTGGTCCTTGCCGAAGACAAGTACATCATCCATGAGGTTGAGAACTCCGGGCAGTCCGCTCAAGATCTCCGACATGCGTTTTTGGAAATATTCCGGCGCTGATGTTATCCCAAAAGGTAGTCGTGTGAAGCAAAAACGGCCAATTGGGGTGATGAATGTGGTCAGCTCTTGACACGACCCCCCCTCCTCCCTTCTCGGAGGGCGATTTGACATGGGTGGACCCCCTGGTGCACCCGAAAGAATGGGAGAATAGCATCCTTACAAATTTTCCGCCCCCCCCCCCCTCCCCCCCTCCCCTAAACGGAGTTCTGGATCCGCCCCTGGATGTAGTGGATTTTTATAAATTTGCGCCTATCGCTCTCGTGGTATGGTTTCTCGTCCCACCAAAAGATGGCGCTAGCATTCACGCACCTCCGCAACTCTCTTCTGATCTCCCTATTACAACTTCTGGCGCACGAACCCCGGCGAACCCGACGAAAGAAGATTCTAAATCGACGATCTGCTTTGCCAGACCTTGAAGCGTTCCCTGGCGTAAAATATTCTGGGGCCATGTCGGGCTATCAGCTCGCTGGTTCTCGGTATCTGCTCGTCGGGCGGGGTGGACCCGATATTTGGCGGCCAGCGCCAAGTTGCTCCTCGCCTCTTATCATTTCAAACTCTGGTTCAAGACTTGGAGTTTGGGCATTCCATCGAGCTGTGTTTAGTTTGCGATAGGAAATCGGTTCGGTTTCGTGGTTCATTTCTTCTACCCGTGGCACTCGAAGCAGTTCAAGGTCCGTCTCCCAGGGGAGAGAGAAATGAAGGTTAAATCCGAATACTTGACGAAAGTCCTCTTTTCAAGAAAAACTGTTTACCTAATATTTCGTTATCCGCGTGGGTCTTTTAGAGACATCTTTTTCTCCGTTATCTAATCCCCGAGACACGCAGCGTTTTATTCGCCTGTACACTCTCGCTTCCCGCAATTTTTTTTTCGCGCCTTTTCAGCAAAACGTGTCGTAAAAAAAAGTGCCGCAACAAAGTCCCGTTCACTATCGAATAGAATGAGGTGGGAAAAACGCGTCCCGCCCTAAAAACGCGATCGCCATGGCGGTTTCGGGCATTTGGCAGAGCAGACGAGCAGACGCGACGGATGGCGCGTTTGAAAAAAAAACCGAGGCTCCGTGATTGGCTGCCCCTGGGGCGCCGGTCGTCGCTCATTGGTCGGCCGGGAGGGCGCTGTCCCGCTCTCCCGACTTTTCGGAAACTCGGCGAACTCCCGGACTTGGCGCACAGTTGTGAGAGAAGCGGGAGCCTGGACTGTCAGCCCATCGCAGGAGCGACTTTGGACGACCACCTCCCAAGTTTGCGGGTATGTGGACGCCTTTTGCTCTCGCATGACAATGACGATGCAGTTTCGAGCGTCTGGGCCCTTTTCCGCTTTTGGCTTCGATGACGATGTAGTTTTGCAACTCCTTTTTTTCTTTTTCTTGCGCGCTCGGAATGTTTTTTTTTTTGTTTCTTTCGATGCTGGAAGACGTTTCGTGAAGCGTCCGTCTGCCGTTAAAAGTGTCTGGCAGAAGTTCGTGAACGTGATCCGACATGTCAGCCAGATTGATTTCGTTTTTATTTGTTTACTTTCAAGGTGACAGCTTTCACGCGCGAAGCTCTAAACGTCCAAAATGTCGAGTTTCTTTTTTTTCCCCGCGTGAATGCGCGTGTTGTTCTGGAACCTCGTGTTCTGTTGATATTTGACGAGCGTTCAAATTTCCGGCTTTGTTTTCTGTTGCTCGGTCTGAAAGAATGGTTGGTTGCCAGACAGCTCGCGCTATCATGGAGCATCCCAACGCGTTGCTAACCTCGAGGAGGCGAGAGGACACCTTTTATATTCAAGTGGAACAGATCTCTCGATGCACCAATCATCTATGAACGAGACGAATCTCGCAGGCGCGCAAATGACTCTTTACACTTTTTTTGTTTTGTTTACAAGAACACGAAAATTATGTACCGTGTCATCCTCAAAAAAAAAAAAAAAAAAAAAAAAAAAAAAGATTAGTAGGCTTGACCGAGGTTGTGGTATCAGCGACATTCATCCCTTTCCTTTCTTTTTTTTTTTTTCTTTCCCGCGTATGCCTAGGCATTAGTGATTAGGGGACGCTACGAGCTATCCTAGCCAATCCCGCTTTGTGGACCTAGTCCGTGATACGCTTTCAGGGCGTCGCTGACAAACATAACCACGCTTCGCAGCAGGGCGTCGCTATGGTCCAAGGTCAAGTGAGCGCTCCACGCCCTTGGGTTGGCTCCGATGGCTCGTAGCATCCGCTGCTCACCCATGCTCTCGCAGACAATCTCTTAAAGTCGAGCCGATAAAGAATACGAAACAATTTACGAAAAACGTTTATGTCCGGCCTTGGCGTTTGAGTCGACGAATGCGGACAGTAGCTTACGCCCAACAGCTTCTTCGGACCAAAAACAACTGGAGAACGCGCGAAAAAAATAAATGCGCATATTTTATAAATTTGTTTTCGGACTTTTGTCTTTATGTCCACGTCCATCTCGGAAACCCTTTTGCGCACACACGCGCGAAACAAAAAAAAAAAAAAAAAAAACAGTGGGGAAAGTTCCGCCTCGGGTAGCAGAGCTGCCCTGTCGCATTCCGGCCTTTTCCGCCTACTGGAACACCCAAACGCCGTGTCATCCCAACTCTTCGTCATTTCGTCTTTTTTTCATCGCGAGAAGCCCAGTGTTGAGCGGAAGCGACGAAGCGGAGGGCAATTATTTTGCCCAGCGCTTTTCGAAGGCGAGTCGGCAACAACCGGGTTGCTGTGCCATAAAGCGGCGCATCATTTTTCCACAAAGCGGAGCGCGACAGCGGAGGAGGGGCGGGAGCGTCGCCCTGCCTGCCACCGGACGACAGGAACACAATGGGCGATGGGGAACAAGCGAGCCGATTACGGGCTTCACCTGGCAAAGGGCGAACGCTCCGAGCCTCCCGGCGAGCCAGTCGCAGCGGCGCAACGGGGCACGTGACAGCTCTCCGCGGGAGGGCTGCGCTCGGACGCCAAGTTGTCACGTGCCTCGCTTCTGTCCTCCGATTGGCTGGCTGGGGGCGGCTGCCCTTTGCCAGCTGGCGGTGAGGCTAGCGGAGAGGAGGAGGTTGGGCGTCCATCCTGGGAGAAGGAGGGAGTCTTCCCCGGCATTGACCCCCCCTGCTCTACGTAAGCCGAGTGGCCGGCGGGGGAATTTTTCTTTCGCTCCGTTTGCGGTGGTCCACGATTTTCCCAAGTAGCTGCTCACGAGTGTCAAAGAAATATACGGAGAGAAAATGACGGCGGCTTAGGAAGAAGAAAAACGTCTCCGAATAATGGGAATCGCAGGCTGGAGAGCGTGTGGGCTGCGGTTGTTTGGAACCCGCTGCAGCCACAGCACGGCCTAAAGACGAGGTGTGGATCCCAAGCGGCAAAGAGGCGAGTGTCGTCGCAAGCCGCCGGCTCTGGTCATTCTATGTTTCGATGGTAGATGTCAGAGAGCGTACATGGTGACGGACAGGCGATTCGGGCCAGTACCTTTCCAACTGTCCTAGAGACCGACCGTCCTCCCGACAAAATCTGACAGGGGTCAGGGTCGCCAAGAAATGCCTCACATTTACTAATGATTGACTAAACTTTGATATATGCGCTAGTAAGTCTTTTATTTACAACGTGCTCACTTACCAGTTTGCTTCGCTTTTCGTGCGGTTCCCTGAGTTGTTCTGCTTTTATTTTCTACAAAAAAACAAAACAACAACATGAAAATAGTCGGCAGAGCCCCTGGTTGGTAGGAAAACCCCGACTCCTGAAGAGAGTGATGGCCCCTCCTAGTCCTCATGGCGAAAATGGTCACCGTACGGCCGATCCGATTTCCCCGGCGATCCGAGAGGACGCGCGAGACGGATCCACACACTTGGATCCGTCTCAAGGCAGACACTTTGGACGCGGCAGCAGCCTTAGACCAATCCGAAGCCACGAAAGAAGGGTCACGTGGTCGCTCGCACCACTCGGGGATGCGTATCCGGCGGTGCTGGTAACCTATAGACGCTTTGCAGCAGCTGTGCATGGACGCCGCCATAACTGACCTTCAGTTTTTGTTTCCTCTTATTCCGTTTATTTCACTTCATCATTGCCATAGCAGGCCAGGTTATATCCATATTAGATTCAACTGTGTCCTTTCCTAAAGCATCGGCCTTTGTAGAGGATCGTCAACTACCGTTTCAGTTGCTCGGCATCTCGGTAAGACAAGAGAAGGTCAGCAATGGCGGCTGTAATTTGGCGCGTGTGCAAAGCGTCTATACTTCGTCTCACCCTACGATGGACTAAAGGCAGAAGCTACGGACCGCCAGATCCAATCACGAGCCGCTTACAAGTTGCGTGGTATTTCGCTTCGATGCGCGTATCGGCACCCGCGTCTCGAATCACTAATGGGGAGGGACGGGCGGTAGTTTGGATTGAACAGCACTGGGTGACTCAACAATTTTACATTGCAAAGAAAGCTATGTCATACAGGCTCTTTGCAGTGTCGAAGCTATAAAATGATGCAGCGCTTTTGGACTCGGAGGATCATTCGTTCACCCCTAAACAATGCTAAGCGTGTCATATTTCAGCTTGAAACTTGATTGGACCTTGCGGCCCGTGGCTTTGGCCTTTAGTCCATCGTAGGATGAGGCGAAGTATAGCGAGAATGTCGCTAAATTCAGCTGATATCCTGTGGAAGCAGGTTCTGAAACCCCCAGACTGCAGTTTTCAGGAGCATGCTTAGACAGGCTTGCAGATCATCGTCGTCATTTGTCAACGGCCAAGCAAAATTTCCTAAGGAACCGGAAGTCGCCAAACGCCGGGGTCTTAGCGACATTTGCGAAACTTAGAGAAATTTCGGTTGCGAAAGCTGCGTAAAGCGGTATTTGCTAAGAAGGCTCATAAACGCATAATCCTCGTCTTCAGAAGAAAAAAAAAAAAGGAAAATAGGTCAGTGGGATAGCTCTTCGGCGCCTTTCGGTGGACAACCTTCACCTTGTTTCTCTCCAGTGGAAAGGGAAGAAGAAACAAAAAAATGCAGACAGTTGTCGCTTTTGAGAGTGGTGCAAGGGAACGTTGGTTGACGCGAAGACGAAAACATTCTCAAACCCCGAACCACTTAGCACTTCCTTTTTCCGGGATTATCTAAGAGTTACGAAACGCTCCTTCGTGACCATCGAAAAAAAAAAAATCTGGGCGTTTTGAAGGGAGCAGCTTTATTCGACGAGGATGAAGCAGGCATCGCTCTACTGAGGATGCAGGTGTTTACAGAAGGGGTATGCCGTCGACGGCAGCATTGTGCTGTTTTGTTCCTGGACCAGGATCTTATCGCCGACGCCTCGAGTCACTCAAAGTCAACGTTTCTAAACACACCCAGTTGGGAAACTCACCGTTGAAACCCGGACCGCTCGCGCCCACCGAGGCCAAACTAGATACGACAACAGCGCCGTCCTTTAGCTACGAGTCAAAACATCAAAGTCGATTTAGGCAGCTTCTGCGAAATGGCAGTGCGAGATAGCGACACCGGCCCTGCGCGACTCAGACCTCAACTAGAGTCAGGGTATCGAAACTACCAGGCTCGTTGGCGCCAAGATGGCGGCTTAATTATTTGTTACTGTGGTCACTATGGGCGTTTAGAAAGCGTTTTTTCCGTATAAACAAACGAAAAAAGCTCTTTCTGTGTGAAATTTTATTGGGGATTAGTACAGAATGACAGGCGAGTAATGTTTTCTAAAAGCTTTAGTTGACAAGGTTTTGCGGCACAATTAATATTGTTTTTATACAACCGTGTCTCACCGGTGATTTCAGGTAGCGCGTCCCGACCTGGGCGCGTCCGCTTAGGTGAGGGAGGTTAGCATCCCTGAGACCACAGCGTACGTGTTTCGGCGCCGAGAGGGCCGATCAAAGCCCAAATAGAAGAGTCAGGGCAAACTATCGAACGCGATACTCGCAAGCTAATCCGTGCAGCCGTGCAGTTACCGGAGTGGCCAGTAAGAAATGCCTGCGCGGCTACTTACCCGCAAAGCACTCGAAGAGCCAATCTCTGCGATCTAGGAAATCAGCGAATGACGAGGCGGAACATCCGTTGAGACCTAAAAATGAGGTCTGCGCTGTGGCATTACGCAATGCAAAGCATCATTCGCTGAGCTCATTTCGTAGATCGCAGAGATTGGCTCTTCGATTGTTTTGCGGGTAAGTGTACGCGCAGGCCTTTCTTAGGGTGTAGGGTGCACACCCGCAGTGATGGAAGTGCCGCGCCAAATTGCGCCACGGACCAAAGTCTGCTACGTCTTACGCCAAAATATCATTTTGGCTCGGAATT